CCTTCGCAATGTACATCTTGAACCGTTCACGGCATGGACACAGGGTGAACTCGATGAGATGGTCAGACGCAAAAAGGACAAGGATTCCAGGCCCACCTACAAGACCATAGCCCGTTTCCTTCAGAAGCCCATTGAGGAAGTCAAGCAAGCCTGGAAGGTCTACCAGCGGCTTGAGGCTTGCGCTTAGTTGACCTTGCATTATGAGAGCGGAAAAACTCCCTTAGAGTGGCAATGCATTCCGTGGACGTTGCAGATCGACGATATGGTTTGCATAGCGGACATGGTAGATCGCAAGATTCTTTCCTCATTGGCTTGAATGACATGGTTGGCATCCTTTGCATTGACGACATGGATGACATGCATGACATTGCTGACATTGACGGCATGGATGGCTGGCATGGATGACATCGATGACATGGATGACATGCATGGCAGGGCTGAAACCGCTTATCTCTCCTTGTCTTGCGGTTTTGAGTGTTCAAATCATGTTGGAGCAAGATGTGCAGACATTCATAACTTGGACCCATGGAGCGCAGCCGACGTGGTTACAGTTTCACGGACCCGGTACATTGCTTGACAGACCATTTCGATTGACTGCTTCACCGCCAACCCCGCCACGGTTCCCACTACTTCTTCCGCCTCCACCTCCTCCACCACCACCACCACCACCACCACCGGTGATTCTTCACCCACAGTTTATGCCCTCATTGCGAGCTTCCTCTAGCCCTTCTCCTCGAGGACAGTCATGCCCGGCCACCATGGGATCTCAGCGCACACGCCGCTCAGTTTGCAGCGCTGACCAATCCCGTGATGATGATCTACGCAGTCTCACGCGTTCTCCAAAACGCTCTCGAACAGCATCCGCCTCTGCCATGCGGCGTTCTCGGCGGCCCTTCGCTGTGTTCCCTTCGAAACGGGCTACTCGTCCAACACGGTCCGTAACGACAAGTTGCAAGCATTACTGTCATGCTTTTCTACATCATGGACGGAAATGTCTTTCTTGTTCGTCGCCGACCACGCGTCATCAGCGGCGGTGAATCATTGCCGCCACACACTACAGACTTTGTTGATTCGTCCTGCCTTCAGTTGAAAAGTTGCCTTGCATTGCACCGCTTGCCACATTCACATTGCATTCAAGTTTGTGTTTCGCCGCAGATCCCTTGGCTTTGCGCTTCCTTGTAACAGCACTGTGACGACACATTTGGCTGTCATGTATCCGCACTATTTTGAGTACCACATCGAGAGAGGCTTGGAATGGATTCGGATTTACACACCGGGCCCGTGGCAACCTGTGGCCACAGCCACCCTGGGACGAGCCCCGGACCACGCTTCCACGTATCGGGAGTGGCGCAAGTCATATCACTTCGATGTGTACTTGCCCACAGACAGCACCGGAGGCACCGCTGCGGATCCCAATGTCATGCCTATTTCGTACGTGTCCTATCACGTGTGGGAATTCTGAGACTCAAACACGCGAGGTTATCAACGCCTTGGCATTCCACGACCAACCATTGGATCGACGGAGCTCGTGAATGAAGAAATTACTTCCTCGCCGGTGTCTTCAGTTCCTGATGGTGCGTGGCGGGAACCTTCCCCCCCACCGAGCTATGATCCCAATTTCGATTGGAACGAGTCGGATTGATGCTTGAACAACATGTTGGTTAAAACGCTGCGCTTGTTGTCCGATTTGCTTGCAGCTTCAACTTGGGTTGTCTTGGCTTGTGTTGTGTTTTCTCCATATCCATGCTTTCGCCGATTCCCTTTTGCCTCAAAGCGGCTTATTCGGTTGGTATGTTCAATTCCACAATATTTGGCACTGCGAGATGGTCCCTACCACGCTACTTTGAGTACGACATCGTCAATGGCCCTGCAAACACAAGCGTTGAATGGATTCGAGTCTATGTACCCGGTCCGTGGCAACCAGTCGCCGACTCCACCTTGGGACCGGCTCCGGATGACACATCAACCTATCGGGAATGGCGCAGGTTCTACCACCCTGGGTTCCTTTTCCCAGCCGGTCTCATACGCATCCTTTTACACATGGCAATATCGTGACTGGCTCACCAGAGGATATCAACGGCTCGGCCATCCGCGCCCGAACATTGCGCGACCAGCTTTTGCTTCGGGATCGCCGGACCTCATGTACGCTGGATTGTCCTCTTCGTCGGCATCCTCGAACTCGGATGGTGGCTGACGTCCGTCCTTGCTTTTCCGGGATCTTCAATTTGATTGGGGCGAGTGGCCTCGACACCTGAGTCGCGCCTTGCTACAAACCGCGGTGTTCGGCGCTGCATGTGCTGTGAGTGCTGGATTGAGTGTCTTGCGTTTGCTTGGCATGTTTGTTGATACGTCGCATGAGGTGCTTGTTGTCTGCAGCCGTGTGCCTCTCGATTGTGCGTCTAGGGTTTGAGTTGTCATGCCGTGGCTGGAGTGGTGCCCGGATCCTCAACAACCAGACGCTCAATGGGTCAAGATTATTCATCCGGGATCATGGACACCACAAGATGAACGTGATGATCCGCCTCCGCCTCATACATACAGGGAGTGGAAGGAGTTCTATGCCCCAAATCTTGATCAAGATGGCGGGCAGCCCACCAAGAGCATTTGGTACAAAAGGGACTGGACCACAGAGGGCTACCGGCGTGCCGCACCCCCTGAAGCTGATCACGGCGTCAATTCGATGTCTCCTCATCAACATAGCGTGGCTACGCAATCTTCGGCTTTGTGTATGACCACGCAGATGTTGAACGCGATTAATCGATCTTCGGATGCGTCGGCCTTCTCTACGGATGATCTCACTCGTCTTCAAGCTGGGATCTGTCAGCAATTATCGGATCGCGCGCGTCAAGCGTCCTACCAGCACCAACCACCACGTGCATCTCGTGGAGTTAAACCACCTGAGTCTATTGGGGTCGTTGACCCAAATTCGCCTGCGAGCCAACATGCAGTTCTACCAACAAGGAGAAGCCTATCTTCGAGCTAGGCGAGGCATAGACTGATGCGCTTTGATCATGGCATAAAAGAGTGTTTTCACTTGCTCTTGCTTCCATGTGTGTTTGCAGGTTGTGCATGGTTGTGCCAGGTTGTGCATGGTGACTGTTCCCTTGCTAGCTGGATCGGAGCCTGCGGTACGCCCTGTCTTTCACTTCGACATGGACATAGATGATACGACTCAGGCGTCGGCCCGAACTGCCGAGCAGCACCCATGGCTCGAATATTCCGTCTGGCATGATCAGGAGTGGGCGCGGATCTACACTCCAGGACAACTTCAACTGTGGCACCCAGAAGAGGCAGTACCTGACCTACCAGACAACTCGTCTCGGGAGTGGAAACGGGTAACTGATCCAATCGATGGGACTGGTGAACCCAGTCAAGCATGGACAATTCGTGACTGGCAACATCAAGGTTACCAACGCATTCTATCTCGCTTTGAGTCCTTCTCCACTCATCATGCTCAGGATCAACCGCTTGTTGACGTGCAAAATTCGGACATCATCCGGGTCGAGGAGATGTTCGCCTATGCACCCCCTATTTCTGACGGTGATCGCTCGACTGCTTTGCAGCTTCCTCCGGTCTTCTATGGCGGCACACGTCTTGCTCATCTTGGAGATCTTTCGTCCCCGTCTTCTGAGCGGCTTCGTGCGGAGCGTGCAGTTTCGCGCTCTCCCAGACGCAGCGGATATTTTGGTAGACGTTAGCAAGGATGAGCCGATTGTGTGATCTTCCGACGGGAACAAAAGACTTTCGCCCCTCACTGAGGGGCGTGTGTGTGCGGAGTGGCAGAATACCCTGTCACCACAATTGAGCGCAGGGGAGTGCGGCATGACTGAGGGAACGCACTCAACGAAGCTACCTCAGTCATGGGATACCGGATCTGATCAATCCGGCGTACCTGCTTTCCGTGATTCTGAATGTCCTTTTGGCCCCCTTGGTTGTGGCGCTGATTGTGCTTCTTGTTCTTTCGGGTAACGTTTTCGACACTAGAGGGAAGCCGAGTGCATTGCGAGCCGAAACTTATGCATGAAGAACCTTATCCAAGCCGAGACTTACCAGTTGTACTCGAAAGATTAGCACCCTCCATCTGGAGTTTAAGTGTGTGTGTGTGCGCGTGTGTGTGTGTGTGTGAGTGAGTGTGAGTGTGAGTGTGAGTGTGAGTGTGAGTGTGAGTGTGAGTGTGAGTGTGAGTGTGAGTGTGAGTGTGAGTGTGAGTGTGTGTGAGTGTGTGTGTGTGGGTGCGTGCGTGCGTGCGTGCGTGCGTGCGTGCGTGCGTGCGTGCGTGCGTGCGTGCGTGCGTGCGTGCGTGCGTGCGTGCGTGCGTGCGTGCGTGCGTGCGTGGGTGGGTGGGTGGGTGGGTGGGTGGGTGGGTGGGTGGGTGGGTGGGTGTGTGTGTGTGTGTGTGTGTGTGTGTGTGTGTGTGTGTGTGTGTGTGTGTGTGTGTGTGTGTGTGTGTGTGTGTGTGTGTGTGTGTGTGTGTGTGTGTGTGTGTGTGTGTGTGTGTGTGTCTGTGTGTGTCTGTGTGTGTCTGTGTGTGTCTGTGTGTGTCTGTGTGTGTCTGTGTGTGTGTGTGCGTTTGTGTGCGCGTGCGTGGAGCTACATGCATATATATATATGTACACATGACATGAATATGCATACACATATGAATTATAAATGTGTAATAGTATGTTAATCTCCGACTTGCTTCGGATAGCACCGCTGTTGCCATCACTCCTTGTGGGCATAAGTTGCCTCCCTCATCCATATCAGGCTGCAACACTGCCATTGTCAGCAAACAGTTGGTCTTGAGCATGGTGCACACACACAAGTTCAGAATGCCGTCTAATGTCTAAGAGGTGGATAAAGGATGTCATGCACAACCCCATAGCTAGGTCGCGTTGAAGTGTGGCTGGCTTCCCATGGGCAAGTAGCCAACCACAAACCGGGCTTCATACCAAGGCGTCGCAGAGTCAGCATTTAGAGCAAAGCCGAGGCAACGCGTCATCACCTCCCAGCACCCCCGCCTTGGGCAGGCCTGCGAGGTCCTCCCCATGAGCATCCTCCAGCTCCTACATATTTGGCGGACTTCTGGGCAAAAGACCGCTTTGATGAAGTGAAAGGGGGAGATGGGCTTGAGGGGTTGAGGGTCGAGAGGCAGGGGCCTTGATACAGGGGGTCGATGACTCTGCAGGGTGGGCGGAAGCTTCATGAAAGGGGAACGGAGGAGAGATGGATGGGATAATGAACATGGCTGTCACAAGGTATAACATCATCATCGGCTTCAACTTGTGAAAGGCAACAAGTAGCCTCTGAACTGCTTCCTGCGCAATGAAGTGAGCCGGGTTTTCGTAGGCAGTGCGTTGCAAGCAGGGCCGGGTCTTCCTGAAGCCCAGCCTCCCACACCAAGCCCGAAACTGCTGATTTGGGTGATGTCGCACACTTGGCCCATTGCGTGGAGCGCTGCACACACCTAAACAAGCAGTCAACCTGGGTCAGCTGGTTCCGCGTCATGTTGAGGAGACCCCGTCGAGAATTCACGTTCGCACTTTTAAGAATGTGTCTACAAATGATCAGGAACCTTTCAGCATATGGCGCATTCTACCCGCGCGCCTTCTCAACCTTTGAGAAGCCTGCGGCCAGGACGATGCAGATCGCACCCTCGTACAACCTGCAGAACGCTGTCTTTACCTTGAGGTTCGAATGTCCGCCACCTCAAGGACCTCCACCAGAACGTTATGTGGACTGAAGTGTCTGAGCCTTGAAATCTAGAATCATAATTCCGTGTGGTTGACCTGGGGTTTCAAGAGGCTTTCTCAAGCAAGTTATCTTTCATGGGCATGATCCATTTGGAATTGTTTCATGCTACATAGGCACACCAAATGACACACATGTCATCTTCCTATTAGTATCAGGCGGAACAAACATCCCAACCCGAACGACATGACAAAACGAGGACACAGATCGGCGCCTGTTCACCGCCGCACCATCTCCTACCTCCTTGGTGTTCATGCGCGCCATCTCCGGCTCATTCGGCCTTAAGACTAACATAGGGTAAGGATGCTGCTCTTTTAAAGTCATGGGATTATATAATCTCACAATCCATCACCGAGACGAAATGTACCCAAGGGCTATGGGCCTTAGGGGCGGAACCTCGCTTGGTTCCCGTCTGCAGGCCCTACCATATTTGATAGTCAAAATTGGCTAGCCGATCACAGCAGATAGTACCAGCTTGAATCAATGCAAACAACCACCGTGATCCGCCTCAAAACAGAATAGTGGCTCAATCTGCAGCCAAGCATCATAGCGGCAAATCCGCTCCCGGCAGCTGCCCCCGACAGCGGTCGCTGCAGGGGGCCCGGATGGCAGGCAAAATTGTTATTAGGAGCAAACCGGAGGTCTGATGTGGTTCAAAGAATTTCAAAGCGAAGTGGTCGGGCGCTAGCAAATCATTTGGGGAAGCCGCGCGATTCTAGCGCATCTGGTAAAATGTGGATAAAGGAGTATCAAGCTGATTGACTCGTGTCCGTTTCAATCAAACTGAATGTGTCGGCTTTAGCAAGCTGAGCATTGACTCAGTGTCGCAAGGATCTGTGTTGCCAAGGCTGCCGAGGGACTTGCGTTGTACATCTAAAATACCAGCCCAAGCTGGCTGCTTGTGCCAAACATCGGCGCTTTCTCAGTCTCTTCAACTGGTTCAGAAGTTCAAGCGGATAGGACTCCCACTCTGCATCGCTCACCGCAGGTTGGTTGAGGCTTGCGAACTTCGTTGCAACTTCGAAAAAAAACAATGATCCACAAAATGCCCATTGGCACCTAATGAGGTTTGGACACCGGCAAGCCAGCCTGAAGAGGGTTGACCACCATCCAAGTCGCTACCTAGCAACAGACTTTGAACTCAATTCACGGAGCCATTACCCTGGGGCAAAGACTCATCGCTCCAACAAAAATTATCCAGCAACACTTGACGCACGATGGCAGAGCCGCATCTTTGTTGGCTCTCATGTCAACCGCGGGGCCTGACACGCGTCAGAACATTCCTTGGAGCAGAGCACCGCAGCGCGAGGTCGGCAAGCACACAAAGCATCCCCCAAGCACACTTCTTCGGGAGTTCACAACCATATATGGTTGCTGTGTCGACTCTTCCAATGCGTTGCAAACTTCTCAACTCTCGCAAACGACTCTGGCATCCGTCTTCTAGATTGGCTTTCAAGTGCAGTCATTCGAAGCGGGTGAGCAACTTGAAGCAACTAAGCAGACTTCACCATTTTTGCTCAATGCTTTTGCGAGAGGGTATTCACTGATATTCGATATAGCAGCAGGCCAAAAGGACAGTTCAAACGTCCAACCAGCTTTAGCTAATGAGACTGCTCAAATACGAACTGTCGGTTGTGTGTTTGCTCTTGCAAAGCTTGCCCGTTACAACAAACAAAAAGGCTTTGAGGCGTGCCAGCAGAATGCCCCAAGGCCAAAAGCCCAGAAGCCCAAAAGCCCAAAAGCCAAAAAGCCAAACAGCACAACAGCCACCACATTCCTGGCAGGCTGCTGGTTGGCTGCGGAGTAGCCATCACCACCGGCGTCTGCCGAAGAGTGGGCGGTTGCATCCTGAGGTTTGACTTCGGCGAAGCGTCGTGGCCAGACAAAAAGCGAAAGAGGGCATACCTCATCTAAAGGAGCTGGCAAAGGCTATGTGGATACAACCTACTGCATAGTCCCTTTCACCTCAACTGGCACGTCACAACCTTCTCATACAAGAACATGGCTTAAGCTTGCCTTTGTCATAGCACGTGCAAGCCTCGCAGAAGTTCCTACTCAAGTTTGACGCAATGACCGCAAACACCAAGTAGTTCAAATGACACAGAATGCATCGAGGGATTTAGGAACAAGACTCAAGGCAGCAGTCTCCACAAAGACTTACAACTCAAAGACCATAAACCTTCACAGCGAACAACCTGCAGTTAAACCGTGACCTAAACATGACCGAAACGTGACGCAGTCGATGGTCCAATAACAACCAAAATTGCCCGAATTGCGTACCTGCTTAAAAGACTGAGTAGTCCCATGACAAGATCCTATAGGAGACGGTTTTGTCAAATTATGTTATACAAACACTTTCTGCACCACCTAGCAGGTCAACGTAGAGCGCGTCCCAGTGTGGGACGATAACAAAGTTTAGCCTTCATGACGATATGGGTCATATGGATGATGCCAACTGCACTTTGTCACCAGGACCCTGCCACAACATGTCCTTTGCCATTCGTGGATATTGCTAGCCAACAACTGCTACAATGCAGACGCTGGGGAATCAACATGTGAACAAACACCAACAAAATGATCGCCTTCCCTTTTGGCGAATGACTCAGGGCTTGCTCGATTGAACTTTAAGCTTGACACTTGCCTATGTCATGCGTTGCAAGAGTTCCGTTTGGGCCCGCAGAAGAAACCAGCGGCCAACACAAGGCGTTCAGCATTTATTGCATGGGGCTGTCAGGAACTCACGAGAAGTACCTGTTGCTTTTTAGCTTCAGCGGGTTGCCTTCATGTTGTTCTTAGATTCTGTGTTGAAGGGGAACTTAGTGCGAGGCTTGGTCCATGGGGCACCTGCTACACTGCTACACTCTGGCACTCTGGGGATTCATCCCGCATGAAAGCAAATCCCCCTCTGGGATCAGCAGCCAGAAACGCAAACAAATTGTTACAATGTACTTTCGCCACAACAAGCGTGCGCCACAGCCAACTCAAAACCGCAGATGTAGGTTTGGCTTTACCCTGCCTGAAAAACAATCGATCAATTCCACCCACCACCCCCACTAAACAACTCAGCGAGGGCTCGCCATAGGTGCCATGCTGTTGAGTTTGGGCGCGCTGCTCCTGCTTGGGCCACTGGAAGCGGGCATGTTTTTTTCTCTTTTCTGTGGTCATGTTAGTACAGACCAACTGCAGGGATTGACGAACTCAAATGGGTGGCGGCCTTCCGAGTGTCGGGCTATCTTGGACAGCTGCTCTTCACAACGCTGTTGGCGCAAAGGAATCGCAGCCGCACAAGTATCAGCACTTCTGCACATGGAACATGAACAAAACTTGTTGATCTTGGCAAACGGGAGCCGCACACAGTTCGATTCACTATGAGGATCCGTTCTGTATAAACTCCCTGAGTGGGGTAAGTCGCAAACATACCCTCAAATGGGGTCCGTCCCTTCTTGAAGGGAAAACAAGCATACGCAAGCGGTGTGTTCATGCTCTAGTCCGAGCACGGTTTGCGAAGATATGCTTGCCCCCTTTTGAGTGAACGATCCTGTGAGTCCCACCGTCCAGTCTGGTAGATTGAAAGCAAATGAAACTTGAACAAAGGCAGCCATCCACAGATCGTGGCAATGTGGTAACCATCATGTCGCCAAAATGCTGCATAGTATAGTTTCTTCGTGGATGAATGGAAGGTTGAGAACAGTTGGACAATGGAAAGGAGCAGCAAAGTATCTTCCACATTGAGTCCCCTAGAAGCACTCCTCACGACTCGTCAAGCCCTGAATACACCTCCCATTTTCCTGCCTGTTCATCATGGAGTATCCGCCGGGTCGCAGCTCAAAGTCCTGTACGGAGCCAGCACGCAGGCATACTCCCACAGAAACTGAACGGTGTCTTCTGGAAGACGAGTTGCCGTTCAAGGGTCCTCCTGTGGTTCTTTATTATTCCTGTCACGATGTTATTGAATTTCATTGTAACCGGACGTTGATCGCGGGCTGGGTGGAATCATTTGTTCTTCCAACAAAACACGCACAAAAGTGGAAAGAGCCCAAGCGCAGCCCCAAACTCGCCGCACCTTCTTCAGCGACTCCTTGCTGAGCCGGGGTAGCGACCTCGGCTCGGCTCCGCTGCTCTTCAGCTGATCGTTGAACCCTTGGCGCAGTGACTTCCATTTGGTGAGCATACCGGTGACAGCCGGATCCGCTGTGATAAGCAAAGTCGCTTGGATTGGTGGACCTATGCTTTTACAATCCCCTTCATCAAGAGGGAACCAAGCCCAGGTGGGCTCAAAACAGCTGGGAATCGCCAACATCATTGCTAAGGGAAGAGCAAACCCATCCCGATGTACTAACGCCATGTCCTTGTGCGAAAGTGCTTGCTCGAGTCCATCCTATGTTCAAGCAACTGAATCGTAGTTGGCAATCACTCAGGAATGATCATTAGTTGCAACGTATTGCAACACCTGATCTCAGGGAGTATGCATTGAAACAAATAAAATGCAAACACACAGTCATGTGAACCCCCCAACAATTATTGGCACTGCGGCTGTTGTCATCAACAAGCTATCATCAAGGTTCGTTCAATTCAAGGGATGAAGATAAACCTGGCCAGGGTTGAGATTTCGAAGCTAAATTAAGGAGACATCATGCTCTTCACAAGGCAACAAGCAGGGTTTCAGATTCCGATTGTCATGAGCTGTCTGCATTAGCACCATGCCTGTTTGCGTCACGGCTATCCGTCTATTCTCCAACCTATGATCTCACAGGAACGACACACATTCTTTCCGAACCGACCATGCGCTCCCTAAACCTTCGCGAGTTTAGGAAATAGCTGCCACTCTGATGCAGCCGGGCTGCTTGGGTGCTCCTGCAAATGAGCCGATGCAAATATGAAAGCCCAAAGCTCGCCAATTTCAGCTGCTAAACTGTGGTCAAGCAAAGAGCATGCCTCAAAGGCAACAAAACATGTGCCCTGTGATGACGCTCCTGTGCAGTGCTGCTGATTCTAATGTAGCAACCATGCAAAGCTACATAGTCTCGCATTATGTGCAAATTTTGAGCACTGCCATCAAATCTGCATATAAGAGTAAGTAGGAGCAACGCGTCTCCGCCATCCATTGCAAGGTTGTCGCGCTGGGTAAAGCTTAAAAAAACAGTTTCAGCTCGAACATCACCACAAATTGATGCACGTCTAGTGTCCCTTTTACTGTGCGATACTTCACATGTCCATGTGCTAGAAGGCTTGCATGGTTGTTACATGGCTGGTTCAGTTGTGACGCAAAAACATCCAAGACTGCAAGGTGGGAATTCGCTTCCACGTGTCCAGGCAACCCCTGGATTGATCCTATGCTGTTGGTCATGACAAATTGCTCCTGGCAGGTGTTTCCAAGAGGGTGATTCACATGCCAAGGACCCAATTAGGCTCCAATGCGTGGCGCTGCTACGAGACTTCTGAGACAGAACCGCCCCGATGCCAGAAGGCATCGTAGGCGGCAATGTGGTTTGCCATAGCATGAACATGCTCAGCTACCACGGATACGGCGATCACTATACCAGTAGAGCCGGCGAAGCCGGTGGGCGGAAGTATAAAAAATATAAAAACTATAGTTCTCTTTCTCTTTCTTTTCTTGACTCTTCTCTCTTCTTCTGCCTTTTCATTGTTTCTTTTTTCTCCGTCATTCTTCCTTTCTTCCTTTCTTTCCTTCCTTCCTCCCTTCTTTCCTTCTTTCTATCTGTCTTTTCTTTCTTTCTTTCGTTTGCTTGCTTTTGTGCTGTTCTTTCTTTTGTCTCTTCTCTGTCTATGTATCTATTTATCTATCTATCTATCTATCTTTCTATCTATCTCTTGTTTAATCTATCTATCTATCTACCTATCTCTCTCTCTCTCTATGTGTCTATCTTTTTATCTCTATCTATCTATCTATTATCTCTCTCTCTATCTATCTATCTCTCTATCTCTCTATCTATTATGTATCTATCTATCTATCTAATTTATTTCTCTATCCAGCTTTCTATCTATTTATCTATGTATCTCTCTATCTATCTATCTATCTATCTAGCTGTCTATCTATCTTCTGTTGGTTTATCTATCTAACTATGTATCTCTCCATCTATCTCTCTATCTCTCTTTCTTTCTATCTTTCTATCTCTTTCTTTCTATCTGTTTATCTCTCTATCTCTTTCTCTATCTCTTTCTATCTATCTATCTATCTAGCCATCTATCTCTCCATCTATCTCCCGCGCGTCTATCTATCTATCTATCTATCTATCTGTCTATCTCTCTATCTATCTATCTCTATCTATGTATCTCTATATCTCTCTATGTATCCCTCTGTCTACCTATCTATCTCTCTCTCTATCTGTCTATCTATCTATCTATCTCTATCTCATTATCTGACGTGTGCTTATCCATCTCTCCATCTCTCTATCTATCTATATATATTTCTAATTATCTATAGATCTACCTATCTATCCATCTCTCTATCTATTTATGTATCTATCTATCTATCTATCTATCAAATTTATTTCTCTATCCAGCTACCTATCTATCTATCTATATCTCTATCTCTCTTTCTATCTATTTATCTATGTGTCTCTCTATCTATCTATCTATGTATCTAGCTAACTATTTATCTCTCCATCTATCTCTGTATCTCTCTTTCTTTCTATATTTCTATCTCTCTATCTCTTTCTTTCTATCTGTTTATCTCTCTATCTCTTTCTCTATCTCTTTCTATCTATCTATCAAAATCTATCCATCTATCTCTCCATCTATCTCCCGCGTGTCTATCTATCTACCTATCTATCTATCTCTCTATCTATCTGTCTATATCTCTCTATGTGTCCCTCTGTCTACCTATATATCTATCTCTCTCTCTATCTGTCTATCTATCTATCTCTCTATCTCATTATCTCACGTGTGTTCCATCTCTCCATCTCTCTATCTATCTTTTTTTCTATTTCTAGTTGTCTATAGATCTACATATCTATCCATCTCTCTATCTACCTCTCTATCTCATTCTCTCTACCTATCTATCTATCTACCTCTCTATCTACTCATCTATTTATCTATCTATTTATCAATCTATGTATTTCTCTATCTATCTACCTACCTATCTATATCTGTCTCTCTATCTCTGTTTGTATCTATATATCTATCTCTCCATCTATCTATCTATCTGTCTATCTACCTATCTGTCTGTTTATCGTTTATCTATCTATTTATTTATCTCTCTATCTCTCTATCTATCTCTTTTTCTATCTATCTATCTATTTATCTATCTCTTTTTCTTTGTATTTATCTATCTCTCTATCCTCTCTCTCTCTATCTCACTATCTTCTAGCCCTCTCTCTATCTATCTATCTATCTATCTATCTATCTCTCTATCTCTGTATCTCTCTCTCTCTGTCTATCTATTTATCTATCTTGCTCTCTGTCTCTCTCTCTTTATCTATCTATGTATCTATCTATCTCTCTCTCTCTCTCTCTCTCAATCCATCTATCTTTCTATCTCTTTCTCTATCTCTTTCTATCTATCTCTCTAGCTATCTCTCTATCTGTCTATCGATCTATCATCTATCCATCTATATCTGCATCTAAAAGTTGCGATTTTCAAGCCCCAGCTGCGAAAGTGGACTTCAAGTACTACTTTCGTACTGAAAAGTTGCGATTTTCGAGCCCCACTTCGCGTACTACTTTTGTACTTAAAAGTTGCGATTTTCGAGCCCCGGCTGCGAAAGTGGACTTCGCGTACTACTTTCGTACTTAAAAGTTGCGATTTTCAAGCCGCAGCTGCGAAAGTTGACTTCGCGTACTACTTTCGTACTTAAAAGTTGCGATGTTCGAGCCCCGGCTGCGAAAGTTGACCTTGCAAAAGTGCTGCGCCTGCCACGAAGTCTGCACTTGACCTTGCGAAACTGCTGCGCCTGCCACGAAATCTGTACTTGACCTTGCGAAAGTGATGCGCCTGCCACGAAGTCTGTACTTGACCTTGCGAAACTGCTGCGCCTACCACGAAATCTGTACTTGACCTTGCGAAAGTGATGCGCCTGCCACGAAGTCTGTACTTGACCTTGCGAAACTGCTGCACCTGCCACGAATTCTGCACTTGACCTTGCGAAAGTGATGCGCATGCCACGAAATCTGTGCTTGACCTTGCGAAAGTGCTGCGCCTGCCACGAAATCTTTACTTGACTTTGCGAAAGTGCTGCGCCTGCCACGAAATCTGTACTTGACCTTGCGAAAGTGCTGCGCCTGCCACGAAATCTCCACCTTGCGAAAGTGCTGCGCCTGCCACGCAATTCCAACCTTGGGAAAACTTGGCCTTGCGAAAGTGCCGCGCCTGCCACGAAATCTGCACCTCACCTTGCGAAAGTGCTGCGCCTGCCATGCAATTCAAGCCTTGCGAAACCTCCGCGTTGCCGTGCCAATGGGCCCGCGCTCCGAGCCCGCTCCGAGCCCGCTCCGAGCCCGCTCCGAACGCGCTTCGACCAGGCGCCGCGAACAGGCTAGCTTCCAGCTCTCCGGAGACACCAATTCACGCACGGGGCCACGCTTTTTGCAGATTCCTTACTCCCGCCACACGCGCGCACATGCGTGCTTGTTCCTTCTCTTCATCCGTCTCAGAGAGAGCTAGCTTTCAATTAGTTGCCGTAACACGGAAGTTCCTTCTAAACTTCCTTTGATTATGTGTATAATATATATATATATATGCATATGATATACACGATATCATATCACAAATCTTGGTGACTAATCAGCGGAGCCGCCTTGCCTCATGGCTGAGATGCGTAAATTCCATGACTGTTAAATGATTACTTGTTGGGAAAGATGATTACCCTTGTCAAATTCCTTCATCTGGGTGTGCTGGATCATTGCAGACCGTAAAACAAACATGTCCGGACTGCAGAAACGCAGCAGCAGGAGATCGCACGCCCGAACATTTCATCATCAAAATCAAACCAATCGAAATCGTCAAACCGCTAAGACTCTCTCCAATCATGCAAGAGCAAGCTCCCCAGGCAGGCACACCTGCCTCTGGCAGGTAGCAAGCTGAATTGCGCTGACACCGAGCCTAGGTGAGTACTGACAGCATCGCGTGATGAGCAAACAATTGTGAAAATCCAACCAAACGTCCGCAATGAATCCTCCATGTCTAGGGTCGTTTAGGCTTGGGTCTTTGCATCGCTGATCTTTCACTAATCTATATTGCTTGGCGCTGACCCTTTGAACATTCACCGCTAGTCTTGGGCACTGTGGGAGGCTTCTCGGTGTTCATGCCCCAGCCTTTCCTGGATCTGCGTTTTCTCCGCGTACACAAACATTGTTTAAAACATTGGGAAAGGCGCAAGGGTCTTGTTTCAATGCCCTACCCAAGAGCCAGTTTCTAAAGATGCCCTCAAAAAAATGCATCTGTCAATGAGCAAGACTCGCAGATTGCCTGCAAATTCAGGCCTGCTGACAGCCTTCCAAGCTGAGCTGCTGGAAGAGTACAGGTCGGCAGCGTCCGGCTCCTCCTCCTCCTCCACCTCCTCCGCGCCCTCGTCCACAGACAACACCTCTGCTTCTTCTTCTTCTTCCTCCTCCTGAGCCTGGGCAGTGCGTGACTTCCACTGCATCCCGGAGTCAATACTGTTCCCCCCGCCAACATCCTCCAAACCCACATGAAACATGGAGCATAGCATGCACTGATTATTTCATCGTTTGCCTCCCATGTCTTATTTATATCATCAATGCAAAGTCTAAACCTCAGACTCCTTTCAAATCACATTGTGTCATAGCGGGTTCCACACACAGCTTGCAGCTCAACACCTTCATCAATCATACCACACACATTCCCAGCAAGGCTACTACAACGCCAAGCGTGGTTGCCGCTTGCGAGCACACACGCACGTAAAATTCCTTGTGTGAAGCCACGTGAAGCCGATGCCCGCTGATGCCCGCCCGTCCCTGAAATTTGTCTCTGGAATGCTTGGGGTGAATATCGTTGTGCACAGCTATGTTCAGCCGCAAAGTTGACTTACCTTGATTTCTGGTAGAACAAAGTCAAACGCGACATGACATCTTCAATCATCCTGCGAGTGCCCATAAGCAACAGGTGCCACTCGGCTGAGGGATTAAAAATACTCAGAACTCAGGATCAACAAGTAGTAGAACGGCAAAAACATCCCGCTTGCCCGCGACGTCTGCGACCGCCCCCGCCCCGACCCTTAAAAAACGTGGCAGGCGTGGGAGCTTGTGGACCTTTGTGTGGTGAACTCCCTCAAACACTTGGGGGTCGAAACCTGGATTTGGAGCACCCTGTCTTGGGTTTAAACCCTAAACCCTAACCATAAAAACCCTAAACCTAAACCCTAAAGACCTAAAAAACCAAAAAAACCCTAAACCCTAAAAACCCTAAACCTAAACCCTTAAAACCCCAGACCTAAACCCTAAAAACCCTAAACCTAAACCCTAAAAACCCTAAACCTAAACCCTAACAACCCTAAACCTAAACCCTAAAAACCCTAAACCTAAACCCTAAAAACCCTAAACCTAAACCCTAACAACCCTAAACCTAAACCCTAAAGGCAGCGGCAGACATCCCCATAAAGATGCTTGTGGGCGAGCCGCGTGTTTTGTGGGTAATAGAAGTAGTAGTAGTTGTTGTTGTAGTAGCAGTAGCAGTAGTAGCAGTAGTAGCAGAGCAGGTAGTAGTAGTGGTCGTGGAAGTAGTAGCACTAGTACTAGTACTCGACTAGCGCTACCAGTTTTACCGGCGCTACTTTACCTTGCAGTAGTAGTAGTAGTAGTAGTAGTAGTAGTAGTAGTAGTAGTAGTAGTAGTAGTAGTAGTAGTAGTAGTAGTAGTAGTAGTAGTAGTGTAGTAGTAGTGTAATAGTAGTAGTAGTAGTAGTAGTAGTAGTAGTAGTAGTAGTGGTAGGAGTAGTATTAGTAGTAGTACTAGTAGTAGTACAATTAGCACTGCTACCGCGCTAACTGCCCTTCCTCCACACTAGCTTAGTCTCCCCACCACACCAGTCTATTAACTTACTAACTGGCGCAACTACTAACTTGCTAACTTACTAACTTGCTAGCTTACTAACTACTACCCGCCGTGTGCTGACTTACTAACCGCCCTTTGCTCCAGGGTGCGCCGGACACTAACTTGCGAACTGCCCTCTCCTCCACATGGTCTGGAAGAAATGTTTCTGAGCCCGAACTAATTGTTTATTGATCCTAAGTTGCTTTATTTTTGATGCGTGCGCCGTGCCACTCAGGGCGAACCGCTTCCAGCGCTCTTTTGAGCCAGAGAGCCATCAACTCCGGCAAGTCCTCGGCTTCAGCCTGAAAAGCAGGTGCGCCAAGGGCCCAGGCCTCTTGCCTTCTCATTTGCAAAAGCTGGCTGCAGCCTAACATAACGGGTCTCGGGAAAAATGTTTGTGTAACAAGGCGTGTGCCACATTTTGCCATGTCAAAGATATGCCCTGTCGTCCTGTCAGCCCCTAGCCGAGTTTTCCCGAAAAACCTGCCAAACAAGGCAAAGCAGCATCTGGCTGTTTGTGCCATTGCACGAGGCCCCACAATGACCCACAAAATGTTTTTGTTTTGTTTTTTTGTTAAATGAACATACCGTTATTTGATATATCCGTCTATCTCACAGAGGTGGCCAGTGACAAGCAAGACTCTGGGCATTTGTTTAGACTGCCCTTGGGGAGGGCCGCCCGCGCCTGCAGGATCACTGTGAAACTCAAGGCGATGTCGCGGCAACACGACTCCTAATCAATGAGGATCATAGCATGCCCTAAAATTGGGGACCTCCTGTTCTGGGTTGCTCACAAACAGGTATTCCTGCGTGGGGGAGGGGGTCATCAAAACATAAGCAAAATCAAGCCTGCCTCCTCGAATTTCTTGGTTTCTGCCTTGTCTTGGAAAGACCCATATTGTCTAGCAGTCCCGAACAAACAAAGCCAAATCTTACACCCCAAATGTACGACCTTCAAAAATGCCTGGCAATCCCCAAATAACCTGGGAGTACTTACTGCATGTTTAGGTCTTACACAAGCGTTCGGGGTATTCAGATTTGCCCGTAGCATCACGCTGAGGAGCGGGATCGTAAACCGAGCGCTCGTTGCCGGACACCTCCGGCTCGCCGCACCTGACATGGAGCCTCAGCCTCTGGGCCTCTCCCAAAGTCAAAGTCAGGGCCACTCCGTGTGCTTTGACGGTTGGTATCTTTGCGAACGCCTGCGCAACAATGGCGCACGGTTTAGGACCTAGAAGTGCAGCTACGCGTTGTGCGACATCGACACTGTGAGCATCGCAGGCATGTACTGTCTGTACGTCGCGTCACAAAAGCCGCTGCAAAACACTTGCCCGAGCGCCTAGGAGCCCAGGGTTTTGGCAGCGCCAGCTCGAACGTTGCAACTTTTCAGAACAAGTGTAGCACGCAACAGGCACTTTGGCAGCTCTGGCTCTACAATCGCCACTGTCCTGTGCGCTCGAAGTACACTTTGGCAACTCCTTCTCGAGAGTCGCAACTTTTTAGTAACTGTTCAGCACAAGTGCAGTATACGAAGCATACTTTGGCAGCTCCGGCTCCAAGCGTTGTACACGAAGTGCACTCACTTTGGCAGCTCCGGCTCAACAGTTGCACTCTTCACTACACGTGCTGCATAGTTGAGTATACGATGTACATTTTGTCAGCTCTAGTTGTCAGCACAAATGTAGTACGGCGTGTACGCAAAGTACAGTTTGGCACCTCCAGGGCAACTGGCATGATGGCAAATGAGTTGGCTATCGGTTGGGCGCCCTTCAAGTTTCAGTCTCCGCATGTTGATTTGCGACAACTTGCACATCATGTGTGTTCCCCTCAGCATCGGTTTGCAGCGTTCCGGGCCTGCAATTAAAGGCGCGCGATCTCTTTTCGACCCAAGTGGGGAGGGCATGTCCCTGAAAACAAGAGTCAACAAAGCAGAGTCAAAGCAGAGCATGAAGCAGCACAGTCGCTCCAGTCCGAGCCTAAAAAGCAGATCCTTGCCGGAGAATTTGATGCTCACCCATCCGGTCGCCGGCCCGAAGCCGTCGACCTGAGCATCATAAGTTCTTGGTGATACCTTGAACGGAAAACGGCAGACAGCACAAGTACACATGTTTATGAAATATCGCTTTGAATTGCACATGTACACATGTTCATATGCGTATCAGGCCTGGGAGACTATGTTCATCAAAAACAAACTGACAAATTGGCTGACTCCTCCCGGCAAAATATGACAATGCGCAATCCCCCACATGGCAATTCTTCCAGACTCGGCAAGGTGGACACACGGACCCGTTTGACACATGCGTGCCAATGTTGCGATTCTACAAAACTCTGTCAGTTTCGTCCAACGAGCGCTGGACTCAAAGACCATGCTTCACTAACTGTGCTGTTTGCAAAGCAATCATGAAATGGGCATGCATCTTGGGGTACGAATGCTTGCCCCACACCACCTTGTCAGCAGGGTCTGTGCCACTTTTTGAGCAAACCAAGACGCTAATTCGAAATGGAGGCGTGTGCCCACCAAGTCCAGCTCCCTCACCTGAGCCAAAATCTGGCATCAATTGGCAAGCCTGGCAAGAGCCGCTCCAACAAGTGACTGTCCCAGGCACTACTAACATTAATTTACCTAACTCAGCTTAACTCAGCTTTCGGAGACCAAAAGCAGAGCTTGAAGGACAACATTTCAATGTGTCTTGCGCCCATGTGCTATGCGTGCCACTCCAGAAGCTTTTAGAGTGCACAAGCCGAACGCCTCATGGTATACTCCATCGGTTTCCCAGGCCTTGCCTTGGCCCGAAAGCCAAGCCGAAGTTGGGCTTCTGGGGATTTCAAATCCTGGCACAGCCGGCCATGCCCTGTGCAACTGTCGCCTGTAACGAAAGACTTCTGATGAACATGAAACAACATGAAATAAGTGTTCGCTTGACCACCCAGCGAAGTGCAAAGCTCCACAACGTCACTTGGCAGTCCTGACCGGTCCGAACCAGGACCCCGCCCGCACAGCGACCACCTCAAATGTGGCAAGACAGTACTTTGCTATAGCTGACCAACAGTGGACAACCAATTGGAAGACATTCTCTTCGGAGACAGCTCCGGCCGCTAACGCCAGGACCATGCACCTCGCCTGATCAGTCAGCTGAGCCCCTCGCCAATGACCTGCCATGTACCTGAGATCAAGATTTGCGGAGCAAGTGAAGATATTGGGAGAAGCGGCGCACTAGTCCTGCATTCAAAAACATCGTGTTGGGTCAACTAGAGAGGCCGTGCTCTGCAATGACGGCTCAAGCAACCCAGAAGCAGGCGATGGGCGCTCTGTACACATGCAGCCACTTCAAGTTGGTGTACCTTTCACCGAAGTATGAGTGCGACAACACCTTACTGGCAAACAACTCAAATATTACCGTTTGGCCTCATTGACACTCTATGCTGGCGGGCATGCATCAAAACCACCGCAGTGCTTCATCAAGGTGTGGGGAAGACTGCTTGTTAGAGTTTAGCATGAACAAAACTAGAATGAACATGCTTAAACCTCATGTCGCCTACATGCCCCGGCCTGAAATGAACGACAAAACCAGCTAAATGTCATCCGTCGATTGGGATTTGTGCAATTGGGCGACTCCAGTATAGCAAAGCCCTTCACTTCTGTCAAACAAACCAGCCCCTTTTTTCCATAGCAAGACCGCAAAACCCGGCTTAAATGTCGAGTCTCGCACTCTGGTCAGGGGGACAAACCGCTGTGAATCATGGTAAGCAAATAAACTAACTTTCCATAACTTTCGCTGTTGATGCTAAAGGTGTGAATCAACCTGGCGCCAAGTTTGAAGAGAGCCAACATGTTGCTCGCGCTTGGGGCCACGGCTACCAGTCACCGGCATTGGCGGCTCGGAGCAAATGCCTTGGCCATCGGCACAAAGACCTCGAAATATTTGAAGGACATAGCGAATCCCAAGCAGTGGGTAAGGATTGCTGGATTTCTGTTGGGTTTTAGATTTCAATGAGTATGCTCCAGAGAGAGAGAGAGAGAGAGAGAGAGAGAGAGAGAGAGAGAAAGAGAGAGAGAGAGAGAGAGAGAGAAAGAGAGAGAGAGAGAGGGAGGGAGGGAGGGAGGGAGGGAGAGGGAGAGGGAGAGGGAGAGGGAGAGGGAGAGGGAGAGGGAGAGGGAGACGGAGAGAGAACAAGGAGAACATGGAGAACATGAGCTGGCCAAAAGTCCGACTTCTGCTCATCCACAATCAAGCAGTTACTCCTGAATGGTCAACAAATATGTCTGTGTTCTTGGAAGGCGAAGGGCTGCAAGCAGTGTCAAACGGCTGCTTACCAAGGAGTGGCCCTGGATTGACACATACCCAAAACTTATGACAGCCTGCCCTTCGCACAGCCTTCCTTTTCAGCAAGGTTGGAGGTGCGACTTGTTCCGCCCCGACTCTGAGAACATCAGCTCCCGGCTCGCAGTTCGGGCCAACTTTGGAGATTTCGGGGTGCCTCGGCCAGTCAATTCTCAAGGCATCCCAAACGTAGGCAGACCGAGTCGCTGGTGCAAAGGGTCGTGTCACAAACATGAAACCCAACTGAATTGCTGTGCTTGTGCCACCTGCAGTCAATGCAAGGATGAGCACATCTGAAAATGGATGTCTGTGCTAGCTGTTGGTTCATCATCCACAATGCTCTGAGCAGTCTCGGGTGTCTCTAAAAAGAACAGTGGGCAATCATTCCCCGCCTGGAGCCACGAAGCTCTCCTCTTCCAGGGCGCAACGCGACAAGGCCCCTGCTTTTTGGGCCTGCGGATCGCTCGCCGCGCGCTTCGTGATGAGGTGATTCGGTGAGCCGGTGCAGGTGCCATGTACCAAAGCTGCCCAGTTGCTGCAGATAGGAATTGTCCAAATTGCAATCAAGTGGGTCACAATACCAACTCAGTGGCCCAGCTGTGCTGCGGATCAGCGGATCAGGCGCAGCCTTCGTATCAGACACAGCCTTCGGCTCCGCCTTCTTGTTGTCCTGCACACAAACTGTTGATTTGGCAAACACACCAACAGCATAGTCTAAAAGCAATGCCCAGGTTGTTGTTTGTTTCAGCAAACTCTATCGAGCAGCCCTTATTGAAGTCCATAGGGGTTGACTGAAAGTCGGTGCAGAAGCAGAGCGCGCTTCCCTGCATGCGATGGTCTAACAGTGCAGGAAGTCATGGTCCGTAGCAAATTGGAAAGTGGATGCCCTCCCGCAAGGCAATTCGATAGACGGAGCACAGGAGAGCAATGCAGCAACGATCCGATGTTGAATGCTAGCGCAAGGGCTGATTGGGAAAGGTCAAACCCTGTTGAAACCTCGCCTGCAAATTGAAAGGAATGTTCAGCCGGTTGCGACTGTTTGCGTGGAAAATGACAGTGTCGAAAAATCATCCAGCAAGGACAAAAAACACACATAAAACAAATCACTGCTTTTGTTGCTTTTTGGAATTCTTGAAGGAAACCGCGAAAACCAGAAGAACATCGCGAAAGCAAAAATCAAAACAGCTCAAGAAACCCCAAAACAACACTTTGGTCCGCAGAGTTTTGGTTTTGGGGCTTTCCCGCATTCTTTTAATCGTTGCTTGGTTTCCCGCGGGTTCGTGTGTTGGCTTATCTTGCCAGTCGGGTGTTGGTGCATCACCGCTCGCGCGGCCATCGGGGCTCGACTGTGGGAAGGCACTGCAATGCAGCCACCCGGTGCATCGGCATCGCGGACGTGTTTCGAGCATCCTTCCCCTGCAACCATCCATTCATCCTTCCATCCTTCCCCTGCAACCATCCATTCATCCTTCCATCCTTCCCCTGCAACCATCCATCCATCCTTCCATCCTTCCCCTGCAACCATCCATCCATCCTTCCATCCTTCCCCTGCAACCATCCATCCATCCTTCCATCCTTCCCCTGCAACCATCCAACCATCCTTCCATCCTTCCCCTGCAACCATCCATCCATCCTTCCATCCTTCCCCTGCAACCATCCATCCATCCTTCCATGCAACCATCCATCCATCCTTCCATCCTTCCCCTGCAACCATCCATCCATCCTTCCATCCCTCCCCTGCAACCATCCATCCATCCTTCCATCCTTCCCCTGCAACCATCCATCCATCCTTCCATCCTTCCCCTGCAACCATCCATCCATCCTTCCATCCTTCCCCTGCAACCATCCATCCATCCTTCCATCCTTCCCCTGCAACCATCCATCCATCCATCCTTCCATCCTTCCCCTGCAACCATCCATCCATCCTTCCATCCTTCCCCTGCAACCATCCATCCATCCTTCCATCCTTCCCCTGCAACCTTCCCCTGCAACCATCCATCCATCCATCCATCCATCCATCCATCCATCCTTCCTTCCTTCCTTCCATCCTTCCCCTGCAACCATCCATCCATCCATCCATCCTTCCCCTGCAACCATCCATCCATCCATCCATCCATCCATCCATCCATCCATCCATCCGTCCATCCATCCATCCATCCATCCATCCATCCATCCATCCATCCCGCTCGGCGGACATGCGAGGCCGGCGCGCGGAGCACGTTGAGCTATAATCTAGTTGTGAACTCGTTCTGATGAGAGAATACAAGGGTACTTCAGGATGGCCAGTATTTCAAGCTGTACCTTCTGATGGTCAAAATCAAAAACCCAGAGGAAGGCAAACTGAACAAAAAAAACAGCGCCCGACTATTTCAAGGCTTTCGAGCCAATTCCATGCCGGTGCCCCGCTGAAAGCTCCTCGCCCAGGTCTGTCAACGCTCGTCGGAACTGGCGCTCGTGCAGGCGTGGCATGGCACACAGGGCCACCAGCTCCTCAGTGACCGACTGTGCGACTCTGCCACTCAAAACAGTCACTCTACGCAGATCAAGTGTGTCTGTTTCGTGTGTGTGTTTGTGTGTACTGCCAGCATATTTACATCTGCCGCTATACCAGTGTAAGATTGATGTTGTCAACGCACAGGAATAACATACACACGTCGGGTATCTTGACTGGAATCGCATCATACTGCGCTTTAGGAAGTATACGGCTCAACCGGCGATGCCATGGAATTATATCCTGTATCTTTCAAGAGGGGCATAATGTCAGCAGTTTCGGGCACAACCAGGTTTTAAGTTGAGACGGCGCATTTTGATGCAAACTGCGCTTTTCCTCTTTTCAGCATCAGGGTGCATATTCGAGGTCAGGTGGCGATTGAAACTCATGCCAGTATGCTGGTTCTGGTCGAATGTGATGCACTTCAGCGATCTATTTGTTTCTTTATCACGCCTCTTGAGTATTGGAGGTCCAGCAAACAGCATCCAACCACTTGTTGCCGGCGCAGGACTGGGGCATGAACTGGTTTTAGCGCTGCTGCGCGGCGAAGGTTATAGCCATTTCAAGCAACACTCACAGCGGGAGTGGTAAGATCTCTAATGGCCTTACAAATCACACAATGTCAAGTGTTTTTTGCTGAGTTGTTGAAACTATTTGCGACTAAAACTGGGCGCATGTTTAGCTTGAAATGCCTTCCTAACGTCAGAAGGGCAAGTCTTGCATAGTGGTTATCGGCACAATGATGGAAGGCCAATCCGCTTTAGGCTGGTTTGCATGCAAGCCAAGAAGGTTGGAAGCATGCGAAACGAGGAAATACGAGGGAACCACGCCAACACATAAGAATGTAAGTTGCTACTTCAGCAGTTGCCGTGATATTGCTGTTGGATGGCTTTGTTTACTGCTGCGCACACCTGGGGTCACCTGGGAAGCGTCAATTTCTGAATTGCAACAGGGCTTGCCATCACAGCCCTAGAGGGAAAGACCCCGAGTTGTGTCGCCTTGGAAAGATTCAGGCAACTGTGTCCAAACTTGCAGAAACAAAACGGCGATAATTTGCGGCCAAACGGCGACAATTTGCGGCCAAACGGCGGTTTTTAGCGAACCACATTCATAGCGCTTGCCGGTTCACTTCACACGCTGCTCTATCACATGGGCTCTCCCAGGAAGCAATCTGTTGTACGGGCTGTCCTCGGAAATGACTGTCGGTCATCATTCTGGCTGCAGTCATATTTGGCAAGAATATATGAGTAAGCAGCCACAACATATTAAATTCAATTAAACTTGCTGATGTTGGCACTGTCTGAAACCAAAAATTAAGTGGTGATGTGATTCGTGTTGGTGGCGTGCTGTGCTGAGAAGGTGCGAGCGGTGACTGCGACTCGGAAAAAAAAAGAGTGAGGAGCTTAAGCTACAGGTCTCGCATGAGTTGCTTTGCGCACGCAAGTCTGGAATTCTCAGGATGTTGGTTCCAGATCGGGGCTCTTGAGCGCCACCATTGACAGATACGAAAGACAGCTCAGACCCAAATCTTGCGCACGTGCTTGAACAACGCTACTGGCTTTGCTCAGGGATGCGCGGCAGTAGCAGGATTTATCCTGCTATCCGAAGCTCTTAAGCAACTTTGCAATCTGGGCATTTTACATCATTTTACTCGCCATACCCTTCACACACCTCCAGGCGCATTTGTCCGCACTAAATTGAGGCCATGACGCAAAACAGCTTTGTCAGCATGAACGAAACTGCAGGAAATTCGCAAAACGGCAAGTATTGATTGAAACGGCTGAAATTAATTGAGACGGCGACATTTTCTGCAGTTTGGCCAAACGGCAGAAATTACGTACCCTCAGAAGATCCATTGCAGTTTCGCTGAGGGTACGCTTCAGGTCAAATGTGTAGCCCACATTGCCTGCACAGAAACCGGGCAGGTATGCGAGAATGAATAAGCGGCGTGCTCCACCACAACAACCTGGAAGAGCTGTCAGTTCAACCGTCAATATTAACATCAGGTAGATGGTCCTGACAAATCCAAAAGACTACAACAAAAGGCCTCGCGCTGCTAATCGACTGAATCAGGAACGCAAGGTCTCCTTTGGCCCGCCAAAACCGACGGAGTCCGTCTTCAGAGGGCATGAACCAGGGTGTTCGCGCCATGTTAAACTCAGATAGGCAATCTGGACCCGTGTCTTAAAGTTGGAGTTAGACCGCAGATTCTGACCCAAGATGACCCAACGGTTCATCCAACAAAGGTCGTGAACCTGGATTGGTGAATCTTGTTGCAGCCCACAAAAGCACTCAGCAGACCACCTCTCAAACAAGAAGAACTCCTCTGCACTATTCTTCAGAAATTCTGCTGATACAGCAATCCAATCTTTCTATTTTACTCGACAGAACTTTGCGGCGCATCCTGCAGCCCTTGCGCAAGCCATTCAGCCAGGGCTCCGCCACATCTTCCTCCGTGGCATTGCGAATGATGCGAAAGTCATCGAAGCCTTCGGCCTTCGCAAATCCAAACCAACTCTGTGGCAGGTTCAGTAACTTGCCTCGGGTTGCTGGTCAAATGTCGCGAGTTGAAGGGGTTGCCTCGTGGAGGTACAAACATGCTCGAGCAGTTAGCTTTGTGCAAAAGTCTGCAGAGTGATGCAGAGTGCCAGCGACGTGGCTTGGATCTTCCAACCAATCTTGCACCCTAAAGCACCATGTTCAAAAAGATGCATCAAATCGTAAGAGGCGAATGTGTAAAAACTTTGAGCTATGCAATGCTGATTATGTCATTGCATTTGTCTTGATCAACTATGGACAGCTTGATGCTGGAAACAGTCGATGCGATCCACGCATAGGTGCCGGGGAAGCATTGTTCCCGAGCACACTTTGTACCGGGTACGCTGTACATGCGCTGTACCGACTTGGATCATGCACTCTTCTGAAGCAAATGCGTGCGTTTGATCCATACGGCGCGGGGTCCGGCACTTGTTTAATAGGTCTGAGCCACTTTTGTTCCAGTGTGTGTCATGAAAGGTCTCCCTGGTGGCTGGTTCGCGAGGAAGGGCCCCAAAACTGAGCTGGCACCTGGAAAGAATGCTCCCAGCGTTTTGCAATGGTTACCTACATGTGCCCTTCAAACGTTCAGCATCGTCCCTTTTGAAAGGAATATCACTTTTAAAGGCCAACAGGCTTTGTTCAAAACCACTACAGGGCGAAGTGCAGGGAGACAGCTTCGCCTGCAGCAGCCCGAAGTAGCGGCCCAGTCCCAGGTCCGAGAGCCAGGTTTGCACCTCTGGGCAGCCCTGGCGGACGCGTCGAGTGGTCCGATGACATTTGGCTGTGACGATGTGAGTTCCACTTTTGAACATTCAGGTTGCACCCCACGTTTTCGCGGTAGGATCTTTACGAAGGTAAACTGGTTGGATCCCCGCTAGTTGCATCAGTGTTTTCAACGAGGAAAGAGGGTGCAAAGGGCATCAAGTCCTGTGACCCATGGAATCAGCCGCATGATTTGGGAATATTTGGGACCAGATTTCCAGGAAGGCTGTGAACAAGAAGATACTTCTGCCCCTGGGCAAAGTATGTCCTGTCTCTTGCAAGGACAACCCAAAACACGTGGCGGTCAATGGTCAATCCAAGGGCTGTGGTGGATGTGCCATAATTAAGTACAAAATAGTGAGCAGGTTAGCCACAGTGTGCTTCCATGTGTTGTGTCCTATGTCAACACAGCGCCTGGGGCAACTGTTGAGTTGCAGTTCTTGTCGAGCCCGCAAGGCCCAAGACAGCAAGCCAGCCTCGTCGGTGGAGATATCAAACATCGCCGGAGCCGCCATGTCACACCAAAGGTGCTAAAATGGAATGATTCAATTCATAGATGCGGGAAACATCAGCCCAGGTTAAGCCATGCGTGGGCTCTTTGCAGAAGTCAAAGAAGACCCCACAAAGGACCAAACTGCTGAACATTGTGGATATATCTTACTGCAGCAAAGCGGGATGTGAAAGATGTGGCGGGAGTCCTGTTTGTGGCTCTGCTTTGTTGAGAATTAATCTGCTGATACGATCGATCATTCTTAGACATGCGGGCTTGGGTCTGTGACTTAGGCTTCGAAAAGGAAAAGAGGGGGTTGCTGAGAAACAGCTTGACTCTTTTCGTTGTGGTCGCTGCAAGGGCTCAAACATTTCTGCAAATGTCCCTTGGCGTCACCGTGCTCGTGTTCTACGATCCTAGGCTTGTGACCTGCGTGGCAAATCTCGAAAAGGGCAGGTGCCAATCTGCCCCAAGCCTGGCGAACAAAAATGCCTCTGATACACAGAGTCCTGCATCACCCCAAAAGGAATGAAAACAAACATCCACTCATTGTGCATTACATCTTCGTCATTGGCATTGTTCTTGTGCGTATCCGATTTTTCTTCTATCACTCCTTGCCCAACGGCACACAAAAGGCACAGGTACCATTTGGGGCTGATATTTAAAAAAACCTGTGCTTGCAATATATCCCCTGCCTTTCAATTTGCAGAGGTCCACCGCGTCAGCTCAAGCAAGCTTGCGCTCAGCCTACTCTTCAAGTTGTCCCGTGACATTGGAGGCAAACACGTCCGGCAGTGAGGCAAATACCCCGACGCGCTCCTTTTTGCTTCTAAGCTTGGGGATAGGCAAACCCTTTTCGGGTTGCCACACTCTGCAAAGTGTCGCGATTGGCCCACAGTCTTCCCCCGGCTCCAGGCGGCATGAATGCTGTCCAAACGGTGACCTCCAACTGAATGCTCCTGATACGCAGACGCAAATTTATGTGATGCAAACCTTGCTGCGAAACAAGCCGGGCGCTGAAGGAACCATCCCGACGCAGGGATCCCTCACGAGGCAACCTTGACGCCCAGCTCTTCCAGAACTTTCAAGAAGGTCAAATTGATCTCAGGCTCTTGCTCCTGATCAATCAAGGACATGTTATATCTAGGATGATCTTCTCCGTTCAGGTCAAATGAGAATTTTTCGTCGTCAAGAGTGCTCTAACAGTAGACCTCACTTTGTGTAGCTGTTGCTCACGTCCACTCGCACGTATATCAAGGACAGCAATTTAATTGCCTCCCAGTCGTCAAACAACAGCAGAGAATGCAACAACAGGATTGGCAATGGCTTGGCTACCCGTCGATGGAACGTACTGTAGGAGACTGCGGTTGACGATCATGCTTTCAAATGAACACCCGACTAAACGCTCACGTAACTAAGATCCGAAATTGGGATTGTCCTTGTCGCATGGCTGCAAATTTCAACCCAAGCCTTGCTCTGAAGCTCAAGACGCCTCAACAAATTCGTGTGACCGCCAGTGATGTGAGCCTCAGTCAACATATTGTGCCCTGATGCACCTGAAACCACAATAAATCTGGAAAGAGTCTGTGTTTGTCTGCTGCTGACTTGAGACAGGAGGCACGGGCCTAGCCTCGAAGCAGCTTTCCACCAGGTGGAGGGATTGCGAGAAATAATAAAGCCATGCAACTCCATCATATACATTGTGTACTGTCCTCCTCTCCCTCTTCTGGCATCGTCGCGCAGCAGTCAATGCAGGTCTTGCCTTCGGCATTCCTGCCAGCTTTTGACCAGCCAGGCTTCTCTAAGAGGCCCTGTTTTAGTTTATGTAGGGCTCTGTACTCGTTGAGGTAATTTCTTTAACTTAGGGTAGCTCTAAGCGATGGGACCCAACTGAGTTGCTGCAAGGAAGTCTCGCATGATCCCGATGACAACTCTACATGCCTTTGTTCAATCCTACAGGTTTCCACAATGATTCGGTGAGAGCCTTGTGCACCGTAGATTTGGGCCTCGTGTATGGAAAAAACATGTGTCATTTTTGATGTGGGCAATCGAACGCGTGCATTGTGAAGGTCATTCATGCCAGCACTCTCCTTGGTAAAAACGTGCCGCCCCCTCCCCGCAAATATCTTGCCTTAGCCGCAAAGGGAACATGGGGATGCCACAGATGCCCCGTTTCCAGAATTACATTACTTGGGGTCCATGGGTCTTGGATTCTGGATGCTGGGTCCATGTCCGCAGTGGTTGCAACTTCAACCTGCCTGACTGGCTTTAATGAAGCATATTGAAGCATGCCATACACGGTGACAATGTAAACACTTGCCTAGAGCTAATCACACAGCAAGAAAATGCAGCATGACAGCATGACGTGGCAACCACGTTCTGCGATGCCAACCAATCAGCTCTTCGGGACTAAAACCATAACGTACTGTGTACTTTGAGTATGATGGCACGCCAACAGCATCCTTACCACGTAAACAACACATTTGGCCACACCAGAGTACAACATGAATGCTTCAATCCAAAACTGTTCCTACACTATGATGCCTAGGACAAAGCCGCACTGCTCCGATCATTGCTACATATCACACTTCGTCTGAACTGCAAATCGTCATGGCTGCAGAAAAAGTTGGAATGCCATCAACTGGCAGCCACTTGCAAGGCTTGCATCTGGATAATACTCATCAACCTCTTTGCTGAAGGGTGATGAGGTAAAACCAAACCTAATCGATATATAAAGTTAAAATGGGCAACCCCAACTTACTGTTACACGCGGCTTCTCAGCTAGTCTTCTCCTTTCAAGCTAAACCTTCTGTCTAACTTGACAGTGTTGACTTGCAACGAGCCCAAGGCACCAAAGGACACCTGGCAGTGCGCCTCAGCGCCACATCTGCCTTGGCCGCCAGCAGGAGTTGCAGCACCGGCTGGATATGCTCCGCCTGTGAAAACTCAAGAAACTGCGCTCCCAGCAAATCACCCCACGAAAACAATGTGGACGGTTGGCCCATTTGTGCATGGCGTTCGTGCGGGTGGAGTTATAGCTTCTCATTTGATTAAGTTTCAATAGCAACCCCCTCAACGATTGCTGGCGGACACAAATCAATACCCATATTCCCGTGATTCTCGTGATTTCCGTGATTCCCGTGGCCCGGTAAGGTCGCGCGAGAATCTGGCAGAGAAAGACAGCAATGCGCGGCATGCGCCGTGGCGCCTCCAGCTCCGTGGCCTGGGCCACGTGGTGCAGCGCCGTGTCTCCGTCGCTGTCGGCCACGTGGACGCTGAGTGGCTCCCGCGCCAAGAGCTGAGACAGCAGCTGGGCCTGGTGCGCCCCGTCTGAACCTGACAACTCCCAGAACGTTTTGATTTTGTCAGGAGATGTCTTCCCATAATCATGTTCCATTTTCAGGGGAGCCACCCCCGACTAGGATAGAGTTCAAAGCGGACCTTACGCTAGACGGGGCGACCTGAGGGCTTCCAACCGATCCAAAACTGATTGTTTGGGGGAATCATGTGTCTGATTTTGCGAACTCCTTCAAAGCCCGGCCAGCATCCATGATTACAAGGAGACACGCAGGTTGAAAGCAATGCAAGTGAGACGGCTGCTCGGGTGGAAACGTGTTTGTTGCTGTTCGGGAATCGAACCTGCTGTGGCCACCGCTGCCCTTTGCAAACATGTTCTCTACTGGCGACTCCAAATGAAGAAAGGGTGCGGAATTACTTTGGGATTTATTTGTTTTTCGTTTTTTTTTCCGGTCCGGGCCAGTAACATGTCGTATTTTACAGCATTTTCTCGCGAAATTGACGCATTTTACACTAGCCCGTCAACATCCCCAGCATCGCTTTCAACATCCCCCGCATGTCCGACCAACATCCCTAGCATCACCAACAAATCGTGGGTAACAAAATCCACGGGGTCAACAAAACAAATGATTCAAACAGGAGGGCATTTTAATCCCAGTAAAAAAACAACAACAACAAAAACGGAAAACTAAAAAAAGAAGAAACAAAACAGCGGGGGGGTTGGGGGGGCGGCAGCCCCCCCATGATGGTCGCAGAAGTGATGATTCGAATAGGGGTGCAATTAAATCTCTGCAAAAAGTCTAAAAACCAGCGGGGGGGTTGGGGGAAGTGGCAGCCCCCCCCATGATGTTCGAAGAATTGATGATTCAACTAGGGGTGCAATTAAATCTCTGTAGAAAATCTAAAACGTAGCGGGGGGGTTGGGGGGGGCGGCAGCCCCCCCCATGATGTCGGAAGAAGTGATGATTCAAGTAGGGGTGCAATGATTCAAGAAAGGGTGCGAGAGAATTTAAAAGGCAGCGGGAGGGTTGGCGGGGGTGGCTTCCCCTATGATGTTCGAAGAAACGCATACATACAAACATACATGGATAACACAGATTACCTAAAATGTCGTATTTTGCAGCATTTTCTCGCGAAATTGGACGCCCAAAAGAGTGATGGTTCAAACAGGGGTGCAATTCAATCTAAAAAGTAACGAGGGGGAGGCGGCAACCCCCCCATGATGTTTGAAGAAGAGTTGATTCAAATAGGGATCAATTGCTCTGCAAACAATCTAAACAGTAGCGGGTGGGTTTGGAGGGTTTCTCCCCCATGATGTCCGAAGTGATGATTCAAATAGGGTGGTGGTGATGCTGATGATGCGGGAAGCCAAATCCAAAAACCAATGAAAGGGCGCAAAAGCCAAAAAGCCCGCAGGATGCGAAAAGCCAAAGCCGCCAAAAGCCGCCAAAAGCCGCATAAACCAGCGAAAAGCCGCAAAAGCTAAAACGCCACCTGCCGAACGCAAAGCCAAAAAGCCACCAAAAGGTGCATAAACCAGCAAAAAGCCGAAAAGCCCAGAAGCCCAGAAGCCGAGAAGCCAAGAAGCCGAAAAGCCAAGAAGCCAAGAAGCCAAGACGCCAAGAAGCCAAGAAGCCAAGAAGCCAAAAAGCCAAGAAGCCAAGAAGCCAAGAAGCCAAGAAGCCAGAAGCGAAAATAATAATAATACAAAATCCTAAAATAAATACCCCTCCATGAAGAAACACCCTTCACCCCTCACCCCTCCAACTTCATCAGGAATATTCCATTCCTTCAGAAGAGGGGATGCCCCATTGCATCTTGATCCCCTTGTTTGTGCCATGGTCTTGCAACAAGCAAGCAAGCAAGCAAACAAACAAGCAATTCAACATTGCCTTCCTTCCTGCATTTTGAGCAAAGACAGGGAACCCTCAAGAGTCTTATCACAAAATTTCAACCAGAGGAGAAGGGCTGGCAGCAAACAGTGCCTCCGCGATGACGCCCTGTCCCCAAACGACAACCGCTGGCATCCAAACACGCAGGAGCTGCATGGCCCCAAGACGCAGCTGCCATGACCGGCGTGTAGCCGTTCTCATCCTGCGGATGCCAGCATCAGCCGCTCAGCTGTAAAACCGTGTAAAGCATAGTCGACCGAACCCATGACGAAACCGACAACCAAATGACCATTCGAGTGTCAAACGCTTGGCAGCATGAGATTCATGGCTGAGTTGACAATGTACAACTAGTATGCCAAGCCGCTAGTTGGCATGATTGCCACTGGTCCCGACCGTGGCACAACATTCAAATGAGCCTGAAGCATGTTCCAAATGAAATCCAGAAGTACCAAATGCCAAAGCAAAGAACACCCTGGCAAATTTGGGCAAGAAAATGTGGCACCTGCCACAAAGCACAAGTACAAGCGCTCCCATTTGGCAAAAGCCATTTGAGCGGTGACTGCAAGGTCCCTATTGAAATTGCCCTGTACGAAGCTTGCTATCAACTGATCGTTTGCTGATCGATCAGAAACTCAATGTTGCTTCATGAGAATCGATCAAACCGTAGTGGTACTCCTGAGAGCTGGGCGCGAATCCATCAAGTGTGATCAGCTCTTCCACGCGGGCGATGTCCCCATCGCTGGCAGCCGTCCACAGGTTCTCCTCCCAAAGCAGCGCAGTGTACCCATGGAAATCAGCAAATAATATGTGGCTTGCCTCGGAAGGCAAAGCAGCAAGATGTTCAACAGCTTGACAACTGCATCCAGGCAACAGAACTCGTGCTTGCTGCCTATGTTTCCTTCAAACATGCAAACATCACGCAAGAGCAAACGCCGATATTCTTCGAGAGACGCTTTCAAAAGTAAATCCAATAGCCATGTCCAGCGCGAACATCAAAAGCAACAATAAGACAGTGCCCAAAACCGTTTGAGGTTGGCTTGGGCCCACACTCCCGGCCCTGCGCACGTCTGCCGCAGCTGCTGCAAAGAAGTCTGCACCTCGCACAAGCACGGCCAACGTTGGGACTTTCCGGAGGAAATGATCTCCCTTCATCGCATTTGGGGCATGATTGCTAGCGTCGACGTGATTTGCAAGAAGCGCATTTCAGAAAAATGAGAAGGCATTTGCATCGGGGTCGCACAGAGAGGCATTTCGCAGCTCCAGTTGATGCAAATTGTCTAGTTGGAACACTCCATGATCTCTCTGGTATTCTTTGGAGGGTGCCACTCTCATCTTCTTGCGGCCTCAAATTGCTGCAGCTGCGTGGGCATCTTACTTTAGTTGTGGCAAACGCTCAGTAACTTTGAACTTTTCTGGCTCTTCATAATTACGCTGAGCCACTGCATTCCAACATCATCCAAGCTTTGGGCAAGATATCCTGATGTCTTGTCCCCTACGTCTTCAACCCCCATCAAAGCTCTTGGCGTGCCTTTCTCAGAGGCAGCTCTGCAAAAGCGGGCTCCTGCCAGGACCGGTTCAGGCTTGGTTGGTTTGGGGTCGGCTTGGGGTTGGTTAAGGGTGGGGGGGAGCACAGTCTCGCCACGACAAGATCAAAAGGACACCAATGGAATAACGATAATATGCCGGTGATTCGCTGGGTGTGGGGTGTCAAAGCCAGGAAAGCCCCGAAAAGCCACTAAAGCCAAAAAGCCACAAAACCACGAAAGCATGCAAAAGCCACAAAACCCATTTTCGGGTGAGCCGAAAAAGGGACAAACATTCCGGAAAAAGGAAACAATCCCAAAATACCTCGAACAGGAAACACCCCCAAATGGCTCTCAGCCATCAAGCATCCTGCTTGAGCCGTGCGTGAAGGGACCGAAAGCCCTGCGAGGCATCTTCTGCCAGTAGCTGCCGCAGCCGCGTCTCCAGCTCCTACGCCGAGCGCGGCCGCGTGCTCTTCCCCAAAACCTCCCACTTTCCACAAGCTACATCAAACTTCTCCTCGCCTGCAAAGTTACATGGACCCCAAGGAGGGAATCCCTCAAACAAAGACTCTTTTGAAAATGAGGGTTTGGGGTTCAATGTTAATCTGCACAAGCAGCCCTAGGGGCCTTGTTGGTGGATGATGTTATAGACCAACTCTTGGAGGGGGTCCCCAGTTCTGATGCCCAAATGCAGTTGCAGGAGCAAATGGCTGTCCTGGCTCCTATCCACTCCTCACTGCCAACTACCCAGCTTCAAGAATACATCCTTCCAAACATGGTTCCGACATCCGGTGGTAAACTCATGAGAAAGGAACTTAGCAAAATAAAATATCTCACAATGCGCTGGATAGCACGCAATCCATGAACAACAGGTTGCGAAAAACAACGGAAGCAACTCAAATATATTCAAATCAAGAAGGGAAAGCTGTGGGTGAACATGGTCTGAGCATTCCTTGTGTCCCACGAGAAGTTTGAGCCTACGCGTGGACAACCGCACGGGTAGTTACTGCGATTGACAAAAACATGTCGATAAGCACACCCGCTCCGCTGCGTCCGCAACCAGTCAGACAAAGAGTCACTGGATGTCAGGGCTAGTGCTGTTTGGCTGTATCCTACCCACGCGTACTGCCTGGACGTAGAAGCAGGTGTGAGAAAAAAACAAGAGTGCGTGCGGCCATTTCACAGGGTTTTCCCTTTTAATGGCAAGCAATGTTGGGTTAAGAAATATGTCACGGCCCTTGTTTACTGGTGGCTGGCATGAAGACAGAAACATATGTTGTTCAAAGACTTGCTTCCGAAAACGAGTGCGAGCTCAAACGAACAAGTGGGCACTGCTCAAAACGCAGGCGACACGCAATGTTGTTCAAAAAAAGGTGTATCTTTTGACCACTCACACCTTCATGTTGTACAGTAAAACACGGTGTTTTGCTGAATCCCACTGGAGAGGTGCGTATTGTTTTTTGATAAACATGACAAAACATGTGGCATGCGTGGGATGGGGCGCAGAGCGTCGCGCAACGTTCGCGCAGCTGTGCGTTCCATTTTCCGCGCGCCGGGTAGTTTGACGCACAAGTTCCTGCCACTCCTAGGGCCAGAATTGTTGGAGGATATCTCGTCTTTGCAAGCGTTGCTAGACGAACAGCTGACCAGCCCGCAACTGTTTGCATCCATTTACGTGCGGCACCCTCGTATTCAGCGCAATGTCCAATCCTGACTCATTGAATTAAGAAAGGAAAGAATAGGTTCTTAGATTCAGGCCTCTGGAGTGCCAGGCTAACACAGTGACCCAGTGCAACATGTGCAACATCCTGCTCCACCTCCATTGCAAAGGCCCAAGCTGCTCAAACCCTGCCGCTGGCTACTCCCAATCACGTCAACTACCCGACTCGGTGCAGATAACTTCAATACGCACACTTCATGCAGCATTTCTGCCAGTCGTAAACACAAGGCATCTGCTTTGCTCATGGGGCGTGTCGCTTTCAATTATTTGCTTATTTGTTCAAATTTGGGAACAACTTAGCAGCTTAGCAAACCCTCAAATTTAACCACCTCATGTGACTGAGCGATTCCAATGTCAAATGGTCTGGGGATCTGGGAAGGGCAAGAACTCCTGAAAGTTTCGAGCCGAAACATCAAAATCCAAGCAGGCAATAAAGCCTCACATCTAAGCAACCGTGTGCGAGTGACCGTGCATTTATGTGCACATGTCTTGTGCTACAAGGCAAGGCATGATGGCGTTAGCACCTCTGTTTTCCCAATGGTCATTCCGAATGTAGAGCGGGGTGAAACACTGCCGGTTCAGGTGCCACCGCGCTTTGGGCACTGCCACTTAATCAGCTAGGCTATCCTCATCTCTCACACCTTGTCCTTCTTTGGCGAGTGAGTGTGGCTCTTTGTCCACCTTTGCCATGCCGAGGCCTCCATTTCATCGGCTCCCTAGGTGGCTGGGTTGCTTGCCCCATCCTCAGAAGCAAGGAGTGATCTGGGTACAGGACAGGCACGATGTAGAAGCAACATGGCACGCAACAAGCATAAGCAAGCAATCAAAAGCCGAGAATCCAGCTTAAAGTCATACTTGCAGTATCTTGCAGTCTCACAGCCCGGCATCCAGAGCCTGGTGGTCGGGCACTTCCAGCCGAGTTCTTGGCAGGTGTTAGTGGGGGGCAAGACAAATTGTGCCTGCAACCTTGATGCTTTGCAATGCAAATGTCCCTGTATATAAACGCAAAAAGTCTAAATGTTCCATGCACAGGGGTACTGTCATCGCCATCATTGACCATTCTTAGTCTTCCTTTGCTGCAGGTTGGGGAACAAGCCACAAGCAAACCAAAACGACTGTGCACTGATTGGTCTAGGTCTGGCGAAAGGAATCTGAACTTCAGACTCGTAGTTTGAGAAGATATGGTGACTGTGGCAACTGCCACTTCGGACCGCACAGCATATTATATGTGAAGGACGTTCGGTAAGCAAATAATCTCCCAACGAATCGCTAGCCCAGCAAAGGATTAAAAACTAGCGTACCTTGGAGCATCTCGGATTCGCAAGCCGAAAACGTTGGGTACATCAAATCCAGCAAGGGCACAGCTGCGCAAGCAATGTGACATGTAATGCCTTATCAGCAACACATCTGCAAACTGTGAATCCCACTTTCACGGGTACTGTTGTTGCTTCTGTGCTGCCCACGGCGGCCAGCAACAAAACACACACATGCACACACACCACAACAGCGACTACCACAACTGCACATAGCTTCAGCAGCGAGAATTACGAGCCCAGCAGATTTGGCCAGCACATCGACAGCAGGAAGAAAAACAACGGCCAAGCCACACGGACAAACAAGCAAACAAATACACACAAGCAAGAGAGAAGGAAAGAATGAAAGCAAGCAAACAAGCAAGCAAGCAAGCAGGCAGGCAGGCAGGCAGGCAGGCAGGCTGGCAGGCAAGGCCAGCAAGCCGGCAAGTAAGACACAACACAAATCAACAACACAAATCAATACAACACCACACAACAGAACACGACACAACCACAGCACAAGCAAGCAGGCAAGCAGGCAACACAAAACGCAAGGCACGGCAACGCACCACAAAACGCGCATGTTAATCGCATCTGCCACAAACAGCCATGAGTAGATCCTGCAACAAAGGGTCACTGCAGCTTGGGGCAGTCCGCCATCCCATCCACAAGTTGTTTGGGAATTGCAGATCCCATGAAAATCCGGGGATCCAAGTTTCACCTCCGAGTGGGCCGCGCTCGGCTTCAAAAGACGAGGTACTCCGCATGGCCCACTACAAAGTGCATCTGCGACACGCGGCAGCCACTGGCACTGGCGTCTTCACCAAGGCGTAGCCCGCGCCAGTGCTGCTCAAGTCCTGCACTCACGTGGTATGGCTTGTGATGTAGGCATATGGGTAACACACCAAAGAAAGAGGGGACCTTGACGTGCCTGTTCGACAAGGACTACGTTAGTTACCACCTTTGGAAGCTACCGAAACCATCAAGTACCTTGAGTCATACTCCCCATGAGCTATACTCTATGAGGTATATATTCTATCAGGGTCCGTCATTTGCTGCATCGTTTCGCGGACGAGGCGTTGAGCAAAAAACATTCGCGGTAGTTTTGACCGTCGTATACACAAACAACATGAACTAGACGGCTGATCTGCTCTGAAACAAGCGCCAGCCAGGGCAGGCGCGGATGTTTTCGCATTCTTGCGGCTTCCATTCAGCTCAGTCGCATGTGGTCAGATGCACAATGAGCGCATCTTTGCCAATGCTCATGGCCATGGCAGCCGGCTTGTCCTCACAGAGTCAGCACAAGTAAAGACATAAGTTGTTTGCATCTGGCAGCCATGCAACCAAGAGGCCCTGATGACGACAAGGAACACATTCTTCAACATCTTGTGCGGGGACATGGCACCGAAGCACACAAACGAAATGCGCAGCCCGCGAGCCACGTTGGCTGCAGTCGACGAGCCGTAGTTGGAGTCGGCAACATGCAACAAACAAGGAGACATACTTGAGGAATGTGGTTGGCAATGGAATGTCCGCCACCCATTTTGGCAAGACCTGAGCGCTATGTATCCTGAATTGTCCTGAAAAAACAGCTTAAATCGATGCTTGGAACAACTTGGCCGACCACGTACGCATTTCAAAGACGTCCGGAAAATATATAAGTCAGCGGCAGCCCATAGCGCATGCTGTGCAAATATGAGAATCCCAGCGTGATTACGTTATATCTGGATATTCAGAATAACATCGAACACTGCTGCGCAGACGGATTAGATGATTGGATCGCTCGCACCAGCACGTCATTTCTGCCATAACTGTTGCCATCTCAGAACTCCACGTAGGGCGTTGCGAGCTCCGGAATGGCAGCCTCCCGTAAGCGTGCTATTTGGAAATGTCTCGTAAGTGCGAAATCCAAATGGTTTGTCAGCGTGCCTTCCCGTGAACATGGAGCAAACAGGGATCCCTATAGCGTTGCCAGACATGCAGACAAACACACACACAGATACACAGACGCACAGCCGCACAGACACAGACACAGAGACAGACACAGACACAGAGACAGACACAAACACAGACACAGACACAGACACAGACACAGAGACAGACACAGACACAGACACAGACACATACACAGACACAGAGACAGACACACAGACACACAGACGAACAGACGCACAGACGCACAGACACACAGACGGACAGACGCACAGACGCACAAACGCACAGACGCACAGACGCACAGACGCACAGACACACAGACGCACAGACGCACAGACACACAGACGCACAGACGCAAAGACGAACAGACGCACAGACGCACAGACACACAGACGCACAGACGCAAAGACGAACAGACGCACAGACGCACAGACACACAGACGCACAGACGCAAAGACGAACAGACGCACAGACGCACAGACACACAGACCACACAGACACACAGACACACAGACGAACAGACGCACAGACGCACAGACACACAGACGGACAGACGCACAGACGCACAGACGCACAGACGCACAGACGCACAAACGCACAGACACACAGACGCACAGACGCAAAGACGAACAGACGCAAAGACGAACAGAAGCACAGAAGCACAGACGCACAGACGCACAGACGGACAGACCACACAGACACACAGACACACAGAGGCACAGACACACAGACGGACAGACGCACAGACGCACAGATGCACAGACGCACAGACGGGAAGCACAGAGGAGAGAGGAAGAAAAGACACACAGACGCACAGACACACAGACACACAGACGCGCAGACGCACAGACGCACAGACGCACAGACGCACAGACGCACAGACGCACAGACGCACAAACGCACAGACACACAGACACACAGGCACACAGACACACAGACGCACAGACGCACAGATGCACAGACGCACAGACGGGAAGCACAGAGGAGAGAGGAAGAAAAGACACACAGACGCACAGACACACAGACACACAGACGCGCAGACGCACAGACGCACAGACGCACAGACGCACAGACGCACAGACGCACAGACACACAGACACACAGACGCACAAACGCACAGACGCACAAACGCACAGACGCCAAAACGCACAGACACACAGACACACAGGCACACAGACACACAGAAACACAGACACACAAACACACAGACACACACATACACTCACATACACTCACATACACTCACACACTTGCACAAAACCACACTGATTGCATCTAGTTCCTTGCGGTTGCTTGGTGCAATATTATGATCCAAAAGTCCTTAGGCTAGCAGAGTGTAAAGTTTCTGTGGATACCTATTCAGTCCATCGCTCCGTGCCATGCCTCCTCCGTAGGCTCTGTCTGTGCTCCCAGGTTGGTACCTGCATGCATCGCTCATGTCTTCCCCCAGGCGCGTGGGCATGTTGTGGCAAGGAGCCTTTCGGATATATGTTCCCAAATTGACCTGCGAAGCGAGTGTGCTGTTTTCCAGCTTGCTGTGTTGATTCAAAATCTTCGTGTTTGGTTCAAAAGCTGGGGCTTGTCACACAGTCTGAAGGCGAAAACGCCGGATGCTTACGGGAAACCCCGTGCCTGCGGCTGCCGGAGCCTGGTGCGCCCCCGCCAAGGCTAGGCTTCGCAAATCTGTTTGAAGGAGGCTTCAACACATACCAACAGGAGTGGGCAACTCTCAGACTGGGCCAGGGCAATAGCAACATTTGCCAACATAGCGAAGCCAACGTTCTAGAGTGAGAGTGGGCGAATAGTCCCGTGGTGGGACTGTTCTGGACAACTGGGGACTGAACAATGACGAGACACTGGCAGCCGGCATGTCAAATGTAAATGCTAGATGTTCGATGTGTATTCTCTGCCAAATCAAGGGCCTCTTTCAAACCCCTACACCATATGCTGGTTATCCCCTCCTGGACCCAAAGGTTGGACACGTGCTTCGCACGCAAACATACAAGCCAGTCAAAGCAAGGCCTAATCTGGCAGGATGACATTTGGCGGAACAAGGCTTCAAATGTCACTCGATGTCAAAATCAGACTTGCTTCAAATAGCTCACCCAGCCGTGCGCAAGCAGTAGAGTGAGAAAGCTTCAGCGATTCGCCAAAAACACATGCCTCCAGGCCAGCTGGCCGGGGGCCTCAGATCCACGTGCCTGGACATCCGAAAACCCTCTTCGCTCGTGGTGCTTGCGCGAACTGATGTATGAAAAGCCCTGAATCTAAGGCCATGATCAACATGTACTCAAAGTACACAATTCATTGGGTCCAGTACATCTAGCACCAATGCAACATAGAACAGGGTGCGCCCGAAACGCAAGTCTTTGTCCCATGAGCGAAACATTGGTGACTTGCTAGGAAAGCTTCTGCTGATGCAATCCTGTTCTTGTACTGCCCAAATCCACCCAAGTGGACTTTGATTGCTCGACTTAGCAGCATCTGCCAACGTGCTGGCGGGGATGCAGGCAAAGGTACCCCCTTCTGACGCCTGCACGTGGAAAGTCAGAGGCTCCAAACAGCCGCTACTGCGGTCAGAGTCCCAATGGGGTCCCCACTTCTGCTCCTCGAGCGCACTTCCGAGCCTCACAAAGAGCACCCGCGAGGCTGGGTGAACGTGGTGGCCAGCAATGACTTCATATAAGCACACAGTATTGATGTAAACGAAAACGAAGGTGTTGAAAACCTCAAACTTTAATCCGGTTGTGGGCACACTGGCTGTCAGCCGACACTTGACCAGCATATCTGTGCTGCGTTGAGGCTCGGGCGCCAAAGCTTCATCAAGCCCCGCTTGTCTGGCAGAAAATCGTGCGCGCAGGCAAGCCCCGATACATCCCATTCCCATGGCAAACATCATGAATGTGAATTTTGCTTGGTGCCCACACAGAGCTACTCCTCGATAGTAGGGCGGTTGTCTGATATTCCTTGTTCCCGGAAATACCATAGACGCGGAAAAACATAAATTTCGCGCCTCCATCGCAGAGCTTTCGCGAGCTAATTTCACACGATTCAATACACACGTAGCACGGAGACTCCTCTGCAGCCCGACTTTTAAGCAAAAAATCATGCAGGTAGTAGACTTCTGTTCTCAGTTCCAAAGGCAAGCCGTGAGCGGCACTGGAGGGGCCGTTGGAACCCATGTCCGCAAACTGGAGCGAAACTTTGATAGCCTGGCTGGGAAGTTGATTTCAACTGGATCCAGAAGCTTCAAAACTCCAACAAGCCGCTTTCTGCTGCGGAGTGCTTTTGCAAATGCTTCCTCCAACCAACTTCCGCCTGTCTGCATTTTGCACGCACTGTCGGCAAATACACATGGCATCACATGGCTCATCAGTCCATCTTTCTTTTAGCAAACCACCCTTACGCAAAGCTTTTGCACAAAATAAATGACTTTGGCGACCTCCATCGTGGAGCTTCCGCAACGGCCAACACTAAGAACAAAAGGTCTTCCCCCTCATATCTCAGCACCAGAACCCTTCGCCCGACTTCCGGATTCAAGTATGCAACACACCCGCAACAAGCGCCTGTGGTGGGCCTAAGGCCATCCAGCAACAAGAGGTAGACCACCAAAGCCAAGACCTGGCCGTCGCCAAACTACATGGTTTGTGCGTCTTTGCGCCTGTGGGGCATGTCCCCCCGCCCCATCCTCGTTGGTAGAGCGACACATTGCCGAAACTTGCGCACTACTGCGGTGGTGCCCGAACTGCACGGAACCTCAGCAGCCTGCGTTGGCACCCAACACCCGCTTACAAAGCAAAGTAAAGCCACATTAAAAGATTCGAAAAACAAAAGACGCCGGACTGAGAGAAAATGAGCCATTTCAATTCGCTGATCTTGAGGGACACCGCAAACGAAACTGTGTTTGTTCCGATGATATCCCACCAAAAATGGGGAAACGTTGAAACACAAGGTCCTCTCTCTTGCAACCCCCAATTCACGCCAAATCTGACGGCGCCTGGCTGAGCCCAAAGACTAGCCACTCCGTGTTCCCCCGCAGCACCGTGAGGTGTAGCCAGGCCACGATCTGGGCGAAGGATCATGGCTTGTGGCAAAGCCAAAACAAACATCCACGGAGAGCGGACCCTTTGGAAAGTGTGAAGGGACACTCCGGGCTGATTTCGGTTGTTTGTCCATATGTTATTATTGTTCTGTAGGGCACCTTGTCGGGGCACAATAACGTAATGATCCAGAAAAATACCAAAAGGTGACACACACACACACACACACTTTGGGGTGATCAAGTTACTACCTCAAAAGGGCAATCTTCAAAAACAAAGTCAATTGGCGAGTCTTTCACGACTCTATCGCTGTACATGTTCAGTCGAACAATTCAGCTTACAGCTGCCATGCCGAAGCAAGAGGCCAAATTCCCCACAGCTAAGATCGTGCCACATGAAGTGCTGAGCCCAGAACTACTTGGTTCCGATTGTACTTTCAACACCTAGGCCTCTGCAAGCAGACTCATGGATCTTTCGTGCAGCAGCAGCACAAGAAGCAGCAGCAAGAGGTAGCGTGGCTTCTGGAGCCGGGGTGAAGAACACTTTTGGGTTGCCTGCAAGAAAGAAATGTCAATAAGTGTCGACAGCGTGCGTTGGGAAAGGAACAGTCGCGAAAGTTCGTGTGTGACAACGAAACTTGTGTGCAAGTCCATCCGGATCTTCCGCGGAAGGACTTAGCCATACCACTCCGTTGTACAAGGATCATTTGATCGTCCACCCTCAGAATCCCTCTGATTGGTGGTTTGGATTGGTGGTTTGGTGGTCAAGGCACTCATTTACCCTCTACAAGAAGCGTGGCGCACTCAGATAATGAGACAAAACAGCTGAAAGAAGCAGAAGGCAGCGACAATCAGCGGCAACGAACATGAGCATACAAACTGGGAGCAATCCACCACAAAGAACTCCACAGCAGAAACTCAAAAGCATAAAGTTCTGTGTGAAGAACAATCAGCTGATTATTTCGATGAGAATATCTGCGCTAAGAGACTCTGGAACAAGCAAGACAAGCATAGGAGTGAGGTGAACATTCTCAATATTCGCCCGGAATCTGCTCAAAAACAAGAGTGTACCTCAGTCTGGCGCCCCTGCAAACGCTGTTGGTGGTGTTCTCTGATTCAGCAACCCGCAGCCAATTGCCATGACACGGGTGGCTTTCATCACAACTAGCTGGCTCAAGGTGCGCATGGTGCAAATCTGCCGCTAAAGAATCCACGTACTGCAGGCGCCAGGCGGCAGGAGTGCAGCTCTTGCATTTCTGGACTGATCTGACACGGTTGTTGTGACTTACCACAGCTGTTTGCAACTTCACCAAGCCAGCATCGCGAAAGGCGCGATCTGCTTTGTACCACAAGTGCGAGACCAACTGCCTTATGAGACAGTTTCACAGGCGTCACCTGAGGTAGAGATTCTGACCCTTCATTCGGGCTTGCAGAAACTGGCCCAAAGCAAAGTTGCATGAACGCGCTAAGGCTGTTGTTGAAACACTGCGGCTCCAAATTCGGTTCAAAGCTCGAATCATTCACGTATCCTTCATCAAATGGTGGCCAGTGGTCTAGCCAACTTCCCTCTTTATAGAACGAGCCTTGGTACTTGCATGCTCTGCTCTGCCCTTTTTCACAATACTTTTTACAATGGGCCATGCAAGCAAACGAGATGTCTTGCATTCGATGCTGTCAAATATTTGCCTTAAGGCCAAAAGTAAACGGAGATCTACAAAGCAGGACATCCTGCCTTGGACAAGCCAAAGGCTGAAATGGGACTGTATGCACGGATCAAAACCGGACAAGCACCCTCCGAAGGCACGCCAAAAAACAAAACTGAGCGAATGCCGCTGTCACTGAGAGACACTGAGGCCAGCACAGTGGGTCGCAGAAACATTAGATAGAACGCGGCTCGGAAGCGGAAGTAAGCCTGCGCAGGAATCTCTCTCTGCGGATCACTGGCAAACAAAGACACTCAGCGAGCATCCATAAGCTTTGTCTCAAAGACTTACGAGTACCTTGCACAATGTTCAGCGGCCAGAATCATGACTCTTAACTTCAATGCCATCTGATTCTGTCGTGCATTGCGGGCCACTATGATACATCCACCAAGGGGCTAGACTCTCATATCTCTTTTTAAACTAGAAAACGGTGGGAATCCCACTGCCACGTGCTCCGCGCTTTGCACTCATCTCAATCATAATCCAACTCTTAAACCAGGAGATTATGCTGACAGCCCAGGAATCTAGGCACCTTCTCAGAAGGGTTCCAAAACCCTTTCCGCGGGGAGTTCGACCTCCTGCCCCCTTGACTCCGAGTCCTGCCTGCTGCTTCCGGTACATGAGGATGGCTGTGGGCGAAAATTGTGTGTCCTGACAAGCTATGCCCAAGTAAGGATTATCGTCTGCGTGGATGAAGCAGTTCGACCCATGATGATAGAAGTTGCGAAATTCCTTGTACACAATACTGCATTCTAGTCACGGGGAAACAGTGAGTTACAAGTATCGCGCTTGAATTCAATTACGCAAATTAATTCGTCTACGTGGAAAAAAAGGGTGCATCAAACCACAAGAACTGTCCAGTGGCAAGGCGCTGCCCACGGTTGCTTTACACGCTCGCATGGGTCAGGATCCGGGGAATCAGACCAGGCATCAGGCAATCCTCACACAACAATCAACACATTTGATGACTGCTGAGGAAGCAAACGACGCACTTCACCAAACGCTGGCATTCCTCAACTGAATCCTGGGCCATCAAGCGTTATTTGCAAAATCTGGACCATGCCCATCCCACTCACTTGCCGCGCACACGAGGACGACCCAGGGCCCAGACGGAAAGGCCGATGTCCTGCCAAAGGCCAACAATGAATAACCCTTCACCTCTACTTGGCAATCCTGGAAGAGTGGCCTGCTCTCAGCCTGCTTTGTTGCAGGAAACCAAGGCCACCCACTAAGGTCTGCAAGAACATAGCCTCACGATTGGACTGCAAGGTAAGGTCACTTCCGGGCCCAACATCCGCTTGCATAGCGCACTGGATTGCCTCGGCAAAAGTAGCTGAGGGCGCTGCGATGATCTGCAAGTTCTGGTTCACTGTCAGAATCACTGCAAGGTTGACGATCATCTGCCGGCCAGCAATCCACGCATATACATTGTCGTGACTGACCCCCATGCCCACTTTATTCGTGTCCTCTAAAAAATTGGATTCTGTCTGGCCTGCCAACCATTCAGAGCCCGTCTTGCAGCCTCTCGCTTCCCACCCGGAGCACAACAGCCGCTTTTTTGCACATAGCACACATGCGCCAGTTTGGCTCCAGCGCTCCTTCCAAGGCCTGACACCGGCTCGAGCTCGACATGTGCCTCAAACAGTCTGCGAATGTCGGATAATACCACTAGCTTCACAACCAAACGCAGTCAGTCCTACACTCAGCTGCCCAAGGACGTTCCTGTACCTTACTGTGTTTCCCAGCTAAAAAACAAGGTATTCCCGAAAGAGAAAACGATTCGGCGATGTGCTTTCGGTGCAATAGATCTGGTTGCCGCTTGGTGAGTTCAGCAACCCGTTAAGTGAATGACTTGCCGCGCCTGACAAAGCGCTCGTGGTCCTGGATGAAATCGCCAGCAGTCACTGCATCTGCCCAGTTTGAGCAACTGCTCGACTTGTCCATTCCCCCTTTCACATGAAACGTTTCTTCCTCGCAGCTTTGACCCTGATCAGTTTCAGTTGCTTCAAAAAAAACACGCACCTAGAATCAACCATCTCAGCCATAAGCTAACATTGAACGCGCTAGAAGGCCGCAAATCCTTTTCAAGTCGTGTGGTTCAAAAGGTCTCAGACATAAGTCTGAAGGCAGGGTGCTCGAACCAATGTCAAACAAGGCAGCCTATCGAACACTGAACATGCTTGCTCCAAAACCTGCATGTTTTTTTTTTCTCTTAAGTTTTATTTATTGTTCTAAATGAGGATGCCTGTCGCGAGCATCACTGCTTGTTGCCTGTGATTATGGCGTGCAGAGTTCCTCGTTCAACAAATCAGAATCCATCAGAGCTTTTGTAACGCACCATCATGATCACCATCTGCTCAATGCAGCTGGGAAAGCATGCTTCATAGCTTCGAACCCATCGTTGTCGCATTGATTTCAATGCCTTCTGCACAGGTCTTCTTTTAATCAAGCGACCATCTGACAGACACGAAGCTTTGTTCAGGTTAAACGTATGCCTGCCTGCAGATTCGCCCACCAGCGGCTGGATAAGGGTCCGCCGATTCACCAGGCCAAAGTACCTGAGAAGAAGCCAGTTGCCTTCAGAATGCCAAAACAATCCAAAACAGGAGGGCAGGCCCCCTTTGATTCGAAGGCAGTTTGCGACTAGGCATGTCGTGATTGCATCTGCTTCATGTATCAGCCATGCGTCGCTAGACAAATCATCGCACATTCAAAAACTATGAACCCACGCCAAAGGAATTACAACCTGCGCTAGTGCCAGAGTGTTAGGGGGGATCACGTTTGGAGAGGCACGGCTATTTCTCATGCCACGCATGTGTTTCAGCCTGGCTGAAATGTTCAAATAGCTCTGCCCGTGGGACGAGTCGGCCAGGTGCTAACATGTTTCACAATTGGTTTTGCTGTTTTGACGTCGCTAATTCACAAAAAAACGAGAAGATCTTCAATTCGCCCTTGACTTCAAGCGATAGCGGCTCACGGGCAGGAGAGCCGCTCCGCAGCGCTGCCGGGCCTGGCGGCACCCTGCCAAACTGGGCCCTTTCTTAAGCCAAAGCGAGCTTAATGGAGGCTCGGAAGGCCTGGGGGTCTTTCTGGGTCAGTTGACAGGCATGGACGCAGGACACATCAGCCTGCGAACAGCCGTTGGCGAGCTTCTCAGGTGCCATGAACACATTTTCATCCATATCATCCCATCGCCGCGCATGGCTCTAGAGCCTTGATGGCGGAAAGTCTGAATTGCAGCTGTACCTACGGTGGACAAAAGAAATCCTGCACCGCCTCAGGGTGAGATTCACAGAAAGTTCATACAGCGAGCCCCACGCCCCTAAAGCAATGTTCAGCAGCGACCGGGTTTTGTCAACTGTGCGGTTGGGCGTGTGTACCTTTCGAAGAACCAACTTGATGTTAAGTTGGAAGCGCGACGCGTGATGAACATGTTTTCATTTAGGCGGTACAGGATTTCTTCTGTCAGCTGTAGTTTGCGTGAACAAGTCACTTCATTGTTTTCGAGCTGTTCAAAGACTTGATGAGGACGGATTTCCTGTGCAGGTGGACATGACACGAGTTTCCTTGCAAAAGGTCCCTCGGGTCAGTGTCTGGTTCTAGATTTGGGCCGTTCGCAGGATCACACTCTTCCGAGGGACACTCTGGCGGGTCGTTCTGCTGAATACAATGCAATGCGGATGCTGGAATAGGAATCCATTTCAAATCCATTGGATAATATTGAATACCATATCATTTTGATTGCCCATCATGGCAGCTGCCACTCAAAGTGGACATGCTGCGTATCCACCTACGGATGGATTTTGAAAGCAGAGCCTCCGTGCTTGTGTCACAAAGTGGACAATATGATACAATATGCCAAACCCTTCCACCCGTCGCCTTGCGACGACCCGATGGGGTGTGGCCAGGCATTGCCCGCCGCTCCACCATTGCAGTAGCTCACCTCGTGCCGGGACCAGAGCAAACCTGCATATCTTAAGAACCATCGACTCTCATGACCATACAAGCGACACACCGACTCGTAGCAGACTGGGCTGCTTGTTCCTCACCTGCGACTTGTCGCTGGAATCAGCTGACCGTCCCTCAGGGCACCGGGCCGAGATTCACCACCAGACTGCCTGGAGGGCAGTGCAGTGGCATCCAGCTCCCCTCCTGGCAAGCGGTCAGAACCAAACCGCTAACAGAACGGGTACAAACAGATGCCATCAACTGCCGTAAACCGAACCATCCAGCGAGCATCTCCAAGCATAATATAACACTAGAAAACGGACTGGCCATGTGTGAAACCGCTCAATTTCACAGTGAACTTCACGCAACAACAAACAACTGTCGACCTAACTACTTATGCTGGCAAACTTGCCACGACCCCATCGCTGCGAGTGTGCGGCCTTCGAGTGTGCGGGTGAGAATATATCGCCCGGTTCACAACCCAAGAACAGCGATGCCAGCCCCCCCTTCCCCCCCTCGTATTAATTTCCACAAGGACTCCAGCGGAAGACAACAAACCTTTACCCATCTCAATAATCTCAATCCTTGGCGATGCTCTGCTTTGAAGGGCGACGACCCGCTCCAGTCATAAGCCTCCCCGGCTGGAGCTACAGGAAGGGACTGGTTCAGCCACATGCTGCGATGCTGAACGAAGCCTCATGGCACTCGCCAGTTACCAGCTACCAGTTGACAACTCGGCTCAGTTCCGCGTGTTTTCGGGACTCAATCTGCATGCCACGAGGATCAAAGGAGGCAACTGGTCCTTGTCGCAGACTTCAAGCCCGCTGACATGCGGATCTGGCAAAAGCACCTGGACGGCTGCAGTCATGGAAGATGGCAACTTCGATTGGTTGATTGATTGGGACCCTTGACAACAAAACAAGTTATGGCCGGCCCCTAGCAGTGAACCATGCTAATCATCCGCTGAGACGCCGACCGTAAGACAGCCCCAGTCCGTGTGTTCTGGCCTGGGTCTGCGGTCTGCCTTAAACCCAAGTGACGGATAAAAGTCACCTCAGATTTTGCAAGCAGTAGAAAGGGAGTGTGATGCAGAGATATTCAGACATCTGAGGAAATCTCCATGTCAAGACTGGACAAGTCGGGGGAAACCATTGGTGAACGCTGCAGGAGCATACAGTAATAAAATGCTCAGAGCTTGCCGTTAGCCATCCCTCGTCAACCACTGGCCCACCAAGTTGGCTAGTTGCTTCCTAAGTCAGGAGCGACTGAGATGAACGGTGGCTCACTTGGAATGTAGGCTGATATAGGAACTGATGTCGAAACTCTGAACAAAGGAAGTCAGTCAGGAGCAATGCAGAGACAACAGAGCACCCGGGTTCAAACACAATGTGCCAGACTGTTGCAAGGCCTGCTTAGAGAGACATTTCATCCTGGAGACAACATGTGCAAGCGCCCTCTCAAAGGATCCTTGTTTTGGTGTGTCCAAGTCAGGCTACATGAGGATATAACTTGCAGAATGGGCTAAGTCATGAACGACCGAATGACATCGCCATCGCGGAAGTCGGCCTGCCACTTCACAGCAATGACGAGACCAACTCCGAGTGCCCTGGTGCGAGTTGAAGTCAAGGAAGGATTATCTTGGTTAGCTTCAACTTCCACCCCTTGAACCGTGTGGTCCGCTTTTTATTAGCAAGGCGAAAACGGTCGTGCCAGCCAAAGCCCCCGCATCACTTTTGCCTGTGTTGGGGAACATTTCTGGCACAAGCATCACATGCCCCTTGTAACTTTAGCCGCTGCGAAGCCCTGGACAATCATAACAAGCAGTGGCTAGTCAGTGCGTTCAACCGTCATAGAGCTGTCGACAGAGGGCCTTCATTGGCAAAAAAACAATTCAAGTGACACAACCTGACAGCTTTCCGAAGCCGGCATGCTTTGGCATCGCTTGCTCCGTCCGTATGCCGCTCGCAAGACTCTCATTCAGCGGTAAACTGGGCCCCATTACACCCCAGTCACAGGATTACCACTTGAGTGATGGAAAGCATGGAATGCACACCCAAAAGCAATTTTGAGAACCCCCCCCCAATATTCATCACTTTAATGTACCCAGTTCAAACCGCTAAGGCCTTTGCTCTCCATGTCAAGTTGAACGAGTGGATGGAGTCTCACGAATGGATCAGAGAACACTTTGCTGGATTGACTGCGCTTTATTCTTTCAGCTTTGGCATCAGAACTGATAGCCCTCCAGAGAACACCTAGGCAAACATGTGCGCGCGTCTCAGAAGGAAACAAAAAGCACAGTAAATGTGTTTTCTGTTCTGTAGACTCGTGCGTCACAGCCAAATGTCTGAAACAATTGCATGATATTGAATGTTATAATAGTCTTTCGGAAGGCCTCGCTCGCGCAAAATCAAGCTCTTGTTTTGGTAGACCAAATAAATCATGCAGGTCATGA